TCTCTCTCTGGTCAGTGTGAGGTCTGAGCTCTCTCAAGTCAGTGTGAGGCCCATCTCTCTCCCTGGTCAGTGTGAGGCCTATCTCTCTCTCTCTCTCTCTGGTCAGTGTGAGGCTTATCTCTCTCTCTCTCTGGTCAGTGTGAGGCCTGAGCTCTCTCTCTGGTCAGTGTGAGGCCTATCTCTCTCTCTCTCTGGTCAGTGTGAGGCTTATCTCTCTCTCTCTCTGGTCAGTGTGAGGCCTGAGCTCTCTCTCTGGTCAGTGTGAGGCCTCTCTCTCTGGTCAGTGTGAGGCCTCTCTCTCTCTCTCTCTCTGTTCAGTGTGAGGCCTCTCTCTCTCTGGTCAGTGTGAGGCCTGAGCTCTCTGGTCAGTGTGAGGCCTGAGCTCTCTCTGGTCAGTGTGAGGCCTGAGCTCTCTCTGGTCAGTGTGAGGCCTGAGCTCTCTCTGGTCAGTGTGAGGCCTGAGCTCTCTCTGGTCAGTGTGAGGCCTGAGCTCTCTCTCTGGTCAGTGTGAGGCCTGAGCTCTCTCTCTGGTCAGTGTGAGGCCTGAGCTCTCTCTGGTCAGTGTGAGGCCTGAGCTCTCTCTCTGGTCAGTGTGAGGCCTCTCTCTCTGGTCAGTGTGAGGCCTGAGCTCTCTCTCTGGTCAGTGTGAGGCCTCTCTCTCTCTGGTCAGTGTGAGGCCTGAGCTCTCTGGTCAGTGTGAGGCCTGAGCTCTCTCTGGTCAGTGTGAGGCCTGAGCTCTCTCTGGTCAGTGTGAGGCCTGAGCTCTCTCTGGTCAGTGTGAGGCCTGAGCTCTCTCTCTCTGGTCAGTGTGAGGCCTGAGCTCTCTCTGGTCAGTGTGAGGCCTGAGCTCTCTCTGGTCAGTGTGAGGCCTGAGCTCTCTCTGGTCAGTGTGAGGCCTGAGCTCTCTCTCTGGTCAGTGTGAGGCCTGAGCTCTTTCTGGTCAGTGTGAGGCCTGAGCTCTCTCTCTGGTCAGTGTGAGGCCTCTCTCTCTCTGGTCAGTGTGAGGCCTGAGCTCTCTCTGGTCAGTGTGAGGCCTCTCTCTCTCTGGTCAGTGTGAGGCCTGAGCTCTCTCTGGTCAGTGTGAGGCCTGAGCTCTCTCTCTCTCTGGTCAGTGTGAGGCCTGAGCTCTCTCTGGTCAGTGTGAGGCCTCTCTCTCTCTGGTCAGTGTGAGGCCCGAGCTCTCTCTCTCTCTCTCTCTCCGGTACCTGGCTGCCGGGCTGCGGCTCGGTTTCGTGCCGGGATGACGGGCGGCGATTCTCCCTCTCCCTCACGCGGGCTGGCGCTCCCTGTGGCTCCCGCGCCGGCCGGCGGGGGCAGCACTGAGGCGCTCGCTGATTGGTCCGCGGGCCGCCGACCAATGAGCGAGCGCCTTGCTGCGGGGTTGGAGCGGCTTCTTAAAGGTGTCAATTACCGTCCACGGACCGAAATGCACCCACGTGGGCAGAAGGTGTCTGACACGTGCGCAAACCCATCCCCACGGGTCAGAGTATCCAAACTAAACTGTAGGGTCAGTGATGGGCGGAAGGCTATATAATATATATATATATATATAATTTGGTAACTCTATCCACGACTGATTGGGGGATACTTCTGTGCGCAATTGGCCTCTGTATTTCACCCACAAAACACACAGTCACTGGATATATAATCCAATAACAATAACACTTTACATTCCGCGAAGCGCTTTGAGGCGTCTCAAAGATGTGGCAAGGCGCTATCTCAAATAATATTAATAACGCAAGGATTATTATGGTGGTGGTGGTGGGTCATGGAACCACTGCTGTCCATTGCTCTGACCGTTGAATATTTTTATACATTTCGTGGCTTGACAGGTTTGGTGTGAATAATGGTCGCCCTGACCATTGCGATGCTTCTGTGCATCACGGACCGTGGAGTCTAACACCAGCCTGTTTCAGCACTGTACCGTCTAAGTGATGATACTGCTGTTTCCAGTTCCTCTCTCCTGCAGATTCGTACTGTCCACAGCTTCTATCAAGTAGACAGTGAGCGAGTGGGAAGCGCATGCGTGTGTGTGTGTGTGTGTGCAAAGAAGTTATCCCACCCAACTCCAGGCAACTTGCATTTATATAACGCCCTTCACATGGAGTAACATCCCAGAGCGTTTAACCTTAGCTCTACACTCACATTCTAGCAGTGGCCCATGAATGCTGATCAGCATTGGGAATACTGGGTGTGCAGAGATCATTTGAAGGTAGTTAATAATAATAATAATAATAATCCTTACATTTGATATAGCGCTTTTCACGTCGGGAGGACATCCCAAAGCGCTTCACAGAACACATTGTAAAGTGAATTGACTGTATATTTGTGGGCGAACGCGGCAGCCAATTGCGCACATCAATGTCCCACAAACAGTCGTAGATTGAAAATGACCAATTTATTATTGTTTTTTTTTTTGGAGGGATTATTATTAGGCGTTTATTAGTTGTGGCTGATTTGGTGCTGATTTGATGTTTTTAACACTAGTAACCAATCTCTCTCCTCTTGACCAGTCCCACTCACCCTCAAAACCGCAGTCATCAACCCCTCCTTAAAAAACCTACCTTCAATCCCTCCAACCTCAGCCACTACCGCTCTATCTCAAACCTGCCCTTCCTTACCAGAGTTCTGGAACGAGTTGTTGCCAACCAACTCCGCGCACACCTCTTCCTCCACACCCTACTCAAACCACTCCAGTCACGTCCTGCCCACAATACAGAGATAGCGGTCGTGAAAGTCACAAACGATATTCTCTCTATCTGTGACCAGGGCTCCCTCTGCCTCCTCGTCCTCTTGGACCTATCTGCCGCTTTCGACAGTCGATCTCGCCATCCTCCTCCATCACCTGTCCTCCATCATCCTCATCAGTGGGACTGCACTTACCTGGTTCGAGTCCTACCTTACAAACCACCAGCACTACATTTCTGCAAATGGTTTTTCTTCTCACTTCCACCCGGTCACCTATGGGGATACCCCAGGGATCCATCCTTGGTCCCCTTCCTCATCTATACACTCCCTCACGGTGATGTCATCTGCAGACACGGGATTAACTTCCACATGTATGCGGATGATACTCGACTCTACTTTTCCACCTCCAGCTGCGACCCCTTGTCCCCTGATGTTCTGTAAGTTTGTCTATTGGACAACAAGAGCTGGATAAGCGCAAATTTCCTGCAGTTAAACATTAACAAGATGGACATTATACTCTTTGGCTCCCGCCGACGTCTTCCGACCTCCTCTACCTACCCAACCTGTCCTTAAAACTCTTAGAACCCATGTGCAACTTAGGTATCAGGTTCGACCCCCAGTTATCCTTCCTTCCCCACATTCGGTCCATGACCAGCACCGCTTTCTTCCACCTCGGCCACATTGTCCGTTTCCGACAATACCTCATCCCAAAAGCTGCCGAAACCCTTGTCCATGACTTTGTCATCTCAACTGGACTACTCTAATGCCCTCCTCGCTGGTCTCCCCTCCTCCACTAGTCACAAAATTCAGCTCATTCAAAACTCCACCGCCCACATTCTCACCCGCACCAAACTTCATACCCCGATTACTCCAGTCCCTGCCAAACTCCACTGGCTCCCTGTCACAAAGCGATCAACTTCAAGATCTTCACTCTAGTGTTTAAATCCCTCCATTCCTTGGCACTCCCCTATCTCTCTAACCTCTCTCCCCACAGCAGTACCTGCTGGCTCTGCTCTACTGGGCCCGGCCTCCTCCGTGTCCCCCGAATCCTCCGCTCCACCGTTCTTTTAGCCACTACACCCCGAAACTTTGGAACTCCCTCCCTCAACCCCTTTGCCTCGCTCCCTCCTTCCCCATCTTCAGGTCATGCCTGAAGACCTTCCTCTTCAACTGCGCCCACGGTCACCTTTCCCGTCCTCCTGGCTCAGCCTCGGGGCTCCGCCATTGCTAAGCGCTCTGAGACACCGCCTGGCGTAGAGGGCACTATATAAATATAAGTTGGTGTTGTTGATGTAAGGAAGAGCATTGGAGCAGTCTATCTTCGAGGTGACTAAGACATGGATGATGGATTCACTGTGGAGAGGATGAAATAGGGATACAAGTGAGCTGGTGGTGGAAGTAAGCTTAGTCTTGGTGATGGGTTTGAAGTAGAGCTGGGGATGTCCATCCGTGGAGCACTAACAACAAAATTACATTTATAGAGCGCCTTTCATGTCGGGAGGACGTCCCAAACCACTGAACAGTCAGGTGTCGGGGCCCGAGCATGGGGGAGGGGGGGGATGGTGTAGGGGTGAGGGAAGGCAGAGAGGTGGGAGGGAGACCAAAGGCACGGTTGAAGAGAAAGATCTTGAGACTGACCTTGAAGGAGGCAAGAGAGGAAGCAAGGCAAAAGGACTGTAGGATGGAGTTCCAGAGTGTGGGGGCAGAGAGGCTGAAAGCCCTGCCACTGATGGGCGGGTCGGGCGGGAAACATGGAGCAGCCCGGAGCCTGATGAACGGAGGGAGCGGACAGGCTCGTAGGGAGTCAGCAGGTCAGAGGTAGGAGGGGGCAAGGCCATGGATGGCCTTAAAGGTGAGGACGAGGATCTTGAACTTGATCCTCTGGGGGATGGGGAGCCAGTGGAGTAGGGCGAGGGTGGGAGTGATGGGGTCACGTGCGTGAGAGTACACGAGCTGCAGAGTTTTGGATGATCTGCAACTTGTGAAGGGAAGAGTTGGGAAGGCCAATGAGGAGGGAGTACCCTAAGGAAGCATTCCCAAGTCTTTGCATCAGGGTCCTGACCAACAGTTCCTCCAATACCCAGCTCTGTGTCAGACAGCTCAGAAAATCTGTTTCTGATCCCCCGCCCCCGAGGCTCCTCACCTACCTTCCAGCAGGGGATATCTGCCAGTGATCAGGAGCAGGGAACATTGGCGGATTTCTCCTCACTAACCCAGGGAGCGCAAGCCAGGAGCTAAGCTGTGACCTTCAGGCATTTCTCATCAGATTAGTGTGTGAGGTATAATAAACACAACTGCGACTAGTAATAGTATTCCTATTCATCAAAGTTCAAAGCTTCATTTATTCATTATTGCAGTTGCAGTGTTTGTCACAATCAGATTGACAAATACATCAAAAGCCAAATGTCTGTGTGTGAGCTGGAGACCAGACCCTGCCCACAGCCCTCAGCTGGACACCAGGGGCAGGGAAAGCCCTCCTTCATTGGAATTTTCATTCATGGTTTGCCTCCCCAATCAAGAGGTTACAGTCAATGGTCAATGGATTTACTCACTCGCTCTCACATTTACACTAATTGGTATGTTCACACTCACTCACTCACACACTCCACTTTGCTGCCCCCCAGTCTCCGGTCAGACGGCTGGCAAGCGCTGCCTGACCTCAGCTCTCGCTCTGCAGGGTGTGGACGTACTCGCTGTACAGCTTCTCCTGCGCCTCATATGCTTTCCTCAGCTTCTTGCTCTGCCCTTTGCTCAGCTCCTTTCCCTCAATGTCGTGAGTGGGGAACCCCTGGGAGAGAAACAAGGGCGTGGAAGTCAGACTCACTCTCACACTCTCTCCCCAGAGGGACACACCCTGCTTACCTAATTCCAGAGACTTTTAGGTGCAGGTTGACAAGAGCCAGTGTGTGCATTGGGGTAACTGTTGGGAGTCTAACCAGCTAAAACCGGATAGCTTGCCATTGAGAGTTCTGTCTTACAAACTTTCCCACTGCTTGTCCAGCTAGGACCACCCTACCCGTTAGGGCTTTGGGTTGCAGGGTTAACAGGAGCTGAGTGGGATGGCTCCCTGTCCCAAGTGACTGGACTGGTTTCACATTGGAGCCTATTAATAATAATAATAATCCTTGCATTTGATATAGCGCTTTTCACGTCGAGAGGACGTCCCAAAGCGCTTCACAGAACACACTGTGAAGTGAATTGACTGTATATTTGTGGGTGAACGCGGCAGCCAATTGCGCACAGCAATGTCCCACAAACAGTCGTAGATTGAAAATGACCAATTTAATTATTATTTTTGTTTTTTGGAGGGATTATTATTAGGCTCTGTGTGGAGTAAGGAAACTTGCCCAAGGTTTCGCCCTCTGCCTGGAATTGAACTCAGGTCTCTCACTTGCAAATCGAGTGCTCTAACCACTGAGCTACAGGACTCCAAATGGGAAGGGTATGGGGATTCCAGCGAGGTCTCCTTGGAGCTGAACAGCCAAATGTCCGTGTGTGAGCTGGAGACCCGACCCTCCCCACAGCCCTCAGCTACCCATGGCGGGTAGTTACCAGTTTATCAATTGACATCCGACAAGCGCAGATTTGATCCCTCACGGGGTGCATGACAGGTAGCAGGAACTACCTGCAAGCTTCCAGCTCAGCATGAAATATGTGAGAGCATTGCCACCATCTTCCTGCCCACAGCTCAGGTACACGTCCCTTCCAATTAATGGTTCCATCAGTTGGAGGTGCGGAGCTGAAGCAGCAGCTGCTTATCTCTCTGCAAACCAATCAGGGTGGGTTCCAGATGCTGATTTAAGAGTCAGTTCATAAATTCGGGCACCAGCGGCTGTCACCCCAAGACTGTTTAACACGCTGGGTGTGAGACTGTTGGCTCCTGGCTATTGCACGTTAATGGCTATATCAAATGCAAGGATTATTATTATTATATTATTATATGATTTGCCCTCTGTATTCCTCCTGGGACAGGTCTTCTAGTACCACCCTGCCAGATACTTACATTCTCATCAAATTTGGAATATTTGTCCTTCTCCAATCGGAACATCTCACTGGGGGGGATTTTCATCCTGGCAAGCCTCGCTTCCTGTCAGGAGAGGATGAAATGTGTCAATCCCTGATATTGCTGTTTGCTCTCTATCTCTGCTCAGCTGGTTCCAGCCTCTTATTTGTCCCTCGTGCCTGACGTTCCACAATCAGTGGCCAAGCCTTCATCCACTATGCCCTGAAACTCTGGAACACTCTCCATCCCTTCCCACCTTCAAATCCCACCTTCCTTTTTGATCGTACTTACGGTCACCTCCGCCCTCCCTCTCCTCCGGTTCGGGTCAAATTCCACCACTGTAAAGCGCTCCGGGACGCTACCCCGCATGAAGGGCGCTATATAAATGCAAGTTGTTGTTTGTCTCTCTGTCTGACTGTCTGTGAGCTCATCTCTCTCTGTGAGACACTCTCTCTCTCTGTCTCTCACTGCCTCACCTCCTGCTGTTGTTTTTTCTGCAACGCCTCCTCCTTTTTCCTCCTCTTCTCCTCTTCAATCTGGAAATAAAACTCAAGTAATTATCTCTGTGTGCGCTGGGGATTCCAGCCCCCACACACACTCTCGCCCACACATACTCACACTCACTCACACCCACAAACTCACCCACCCCCACACAATCATTCAGAGTCAGCAAACAGGCTGCTCTGCATGATGCCTGGGTATGGTGTCACACTACTCTCCCACAGCCCCACCTTGCCCCCAGCCCCCCCTCCCCCACAGCTCCCCTCCGCCCGGTCCCTGTATCATGCTCGCCATCGTTACCTTTTTCTTCTCCTCTCGTTCCTTAAGCAGAGTCTCTCTGTCAACCAACTTCACCACAGTGGGCAGCCCTGCACACACACCATTATAAGTGATCTGACAATTACACACAGCTTCACAGCCAATGGTGGGAAAGATACGAGAGTGAGGGAGGGAGGGAGGGAGGGAGGGAGCGAGGGAGGAGGTGGCTGAGAACAAAAATGGGGCAATGAAGAAGAGGGTGCCTGCCAGAGTTTCAGAGAATGGGGGCAGTATGGCTGAAAGCTCTGGTGGAACAGAGGGACAGGAGCCAGACCAGAGCTCACACAGCGGAGAGAGGCAGATGGAGTGGGGGTGGGGGAAGGGAAATTAGAGGCAGAGAGAGAGCGAGACGTTACCTTCGTGATCCTCGAGTCTCACACCAAGTTCTGGGAGCACGTCGTCTCTGAGAGAATCACACACCCGCAGCACCTCACTGACTATAAGAGCAGCACAACAGAGCAGGGAGTCACCTGTGGGGCATCACCTGGGGGCGGGGAGGGCATCAAGCTCTCCCCCACCCCCGACACGCTCCCCCACCAACACGCTCCCCCCACAACCCGCTACCCTCCCCCAGCAGACTCTCAGTCCACACCTCTCCTCTCACGGGCGATGTGGCGCACGCTCTCCCGGAAATCTGACATGGCCTTCAGGTATGGCATGACTGTGGTTTCAAGCTGCAGAAGACAGAGACACAAGGTGTCAAGGCCCCAATCCCGACACATGGCAATGCCACCCTCCCTAACTCCACCCGAGCAACTGACAGCAACTCAACCCCCAGTGACTGAGCCAGGCTGACACAACATTGATATTGCTGTCTGGAAGTTTCCCGCTGCTTGTCCAGCTGGGACCACCCTATCCGTTAGCGTTTGGCTCGCAGGATTAACAGGAGTTGAGTGGGATGACTTCTTGTCCCCAGTGACTGGTCCGCTGTTCCAGGTCCTGCCGATGAGCCCCTATCGGCTCAAGAACCGGACTAGAGGACGTCACAGAGGATTGGTTCGATTCTGACTTTCTGTTGAAAACATGTCACATTGGAGCCAGTTGAGCTCCAAGGAGACTTCGCTGATCTCTCCACGCCCATGGTGGGAACGCCGGTTCAAATCTGACCTCTGAATTGCCACAAACTTTCCGATATGAAGGGTGCTCAAGAAATGTAATTTGTGGTTGTCGACTTACGTTCACACTATGGCTGGCACTTCCAACTGGGAATCCAATGGGCTCCTCGCCCTCTATTGCTCCAAAGACCTGTTGGTGCAAACAGGACAAAAAAGCGATCAGCGGTTACTGCCCTGAGCAATCACAGGCCTGAGAGCTTAGGGCAAGTGGGGAGAGGAGACAGAGAGTGAGAGAGAGCTCGGGGCAAGGGGGGCAAAGAGTGATAGGAAGCACGAGAGTGAAAAAGAGCTCGGGGCGAGGGAGAGAGAATTGTAAGCGACGGAGAGAGAGAAAATGTGCTGCGGGCAAGGGCAGCGTCCCAGCTCCTCACCTTGAACATGTGTGTGATGTAGGTTGCGATGCGGTTGAGCAGCAGGCGGTTGGGCAGGCGTTTGCTGCTCTTCTCCAGCGCAATGTAGGTGTTGCACTGAGTGATGAGGCCCCGGAGCTCCTCCAGCACCGTGCGGGTGTCCACATTGTCACACAGTGCCGCATGCACCGCTCGCTTCCTCTCCCCAAACCTGCAACACACACACACATACCACGATATCACACTGTCCCGTCTGTCCCCGCAGGGAGCTCCTCACGGCCAGGGCTGATAGCCAGGGAACCCGGGTCTTACACCCCACCCCCCCCACCCCCACCCCTCCTGACTCAGGGCAAACACTCCACCCCTGGTCCCAGCCCCCTCCCTGCCCAGCCTCAGCTCAGGATCTCACTGCAGCCTGGCTCAGGGGACTCACGCCCCCCACCCAGCCTGGCCCAGGGCAGACATACACCCCCCACCCCACCCCGCAGACACTGACCCTTTGTTGACGGCCAGCTCATGTTGTTGCCACTTCTCAAACCGCCCGGTGATGCTGGTTGGTGTCCGGAGGATATCTTTCACATTCAGGAAGAACTCCTGTCAAACATGGTGAGCTTAGCCAGAGATTAGACACACGCCCCACCCACCACCAATTCACCTCTCCCGCACTACCCCCCAGCACAAACCACCCCCCAGCACAAACCACCCCCCGCCACCCACACCACACAAACCACTCCACCCTCTAGCACAAACAACCCTGCACTGCCACACAAACGCGGGATGTGGACGGATAATGTGGAGGGAGCTTTACTCTGTATCCAAAGCGGTGGTTTACTTACATTTAAGAACCTCTCATACTGAATGGCTGACTCCATGGTGTTGCTGGAATAGTCCAGTGTGTCCTTCCAGGAGTGCATGAGGAATGCCAAGCGAAGCTGGCGGGCTAGAAACACACATACCATCAAGAGACCCTCCAGCCCCTGGAGACAATCTCCTTCCCCCAGTCCCAGAGACCCCTCCCACCCCAATCCCAGAGCTCCACCCCTCAGCCAGAACCCCTCTCCCACAGCTGGGGACCCGGGGGATTGGGGCGTCAAGGGGCTGGTGCCTCGAGGGGCTGGGGTGTAGGGGACTGGGGCACCAGGGGGCCGGGCGTTGTGGGCCGGGGCGTTGGGGGTTTTGGGGGCTGGTACCTGTGTGCTTGCTCAGTGCATCTTTGATGGTGATGAAGTTTTTTAAGGATTTGGACATCTTGCAGCCCGCGATGGTGAGGTGACCGGTGTGCAGAAAGTACCGCACCCAGTGGTCGTTATCAAAGTATGCCTGTGCGTAAGATCCATAGGTCAGCAGCTCCACCCACACACAGCCCCCAACCCACATGCAGCCCCGCCTGCACCCTCACTCATTAACCACCCCACCCCCACTCACCCACAGCCCTAACTCACCAACAGCCCCCACCACCCTCCACCCCCACACAGTACGAACCCTGACAACCACCCGTACCGCTCCGGCAGCCCTCCCGACAGTGGAAAACAGGAACTGTCGTTCAGCCTCACCCAACACACTGTGCTGCAGAGCAGCATTATCAGCCTAACTGGTCACAAGCCCCAGCCGTCATTGTGGCCCGCACCCCCCCACCCACCCACCCCCCCACCATACACAGGCCTTCCCCGACATACTGCCCCCGGTCTCCACAGTGGGAAGAGTTGTGGTTAGACCTCAATATCCCACCTCAGACTGTGCCAACTCATTGTCATGATGGGGGAAGCGCAGGTCAAAGCCTCCCCCGTGGATGTCCATGGATTCTCCCAGGATGGCACCAGCCATTGCTGAGCATTCGATGTGCCAACCAGGGCGACCCTGCCAGGACAGAGGAAACACACGTCAGCGGCACATCAAATACCCCCAGGAGTGCTCCAGCCCCCCTACCTCCCTGGGGTTACCCCACACCCAGCCCAGGCTGCCCCTTGCCCCCAAGGTTCCCCCACCCCCCAGGGTTCCCCCACGCTCCACCACCTGGTTTCCCACCCCCAGCGTTCCCAACTCTCTGCCCTCTAACCTTGCCCCAGGGCGAGTCCCAGGACGGTTCTCCAGGCTTCGAGGCCTTCCAGAGCGCAAAGTCATTTGATGATTTCTTCTCACTCAGTCGATCAGCAGAAATGCTCAAATCCCCTGAAAACAGAAACTTGCCATGTAAGTCAGTGAGTGTGAGATCTCTTCCCCACCCTGCCCATTCCGATCTGGCTAAATTCTCCCACAACACAGTCACTGCACTTTACAGTATCCTGTGAAACAATTTGAGATGTCCTCCTGACATCTGTACCAAATGTAAGATGATCTTCAGTGTCACCCCCACCCCCCCAACCCCCCGCCAGTCTGCCTGGTGTGTATGTGCCTTAGGTTCTCTCACCTTCCCCTTCGTGTAGAGCCTTCTGGTCTCCCACAGCCTCAGGTACCAGCTTGGCGTATGAATGCTTCTCACTATTACTAAATTTGACTGTATCAAAGTAAACAGAACCATTGGAGACGTACCTGCAGAGACACACCATGCTTGCTCAGGGCAACAACAACAACAAATTGCATTTATACAGCGCTTTTCATGTCAGGAGAATGTCCTAAGGTGCTGGACAGTTTAGGATTTGCACCTGAGCCTGGGGCTTGGATTCAATGGGCACCAAGAGGATTGGGGTAGGAGCGTGTCCGAAGGCATGGTCAAAGAAGAAGGTAATGAGATGAAGCCTTGAAGGAGGTATAGGAAGGGGTGAGATGACAGTAGAATTAACCGTGTCAAACGCCACACAGCATAAGGTGATCCGAACCCCGGGTGAGCAAGGTCATTGCTCAAAGCCGATGAGGTGGTGGGCACCCACAGGTAAGGGCCTCACCCATCACAGTGTTATACATTCAGCCCATAAACACCAGCTTAAAAACTCACCCATAACCGTTGTCCATCACCTTGGCAACAAACTGCACAATCTCGGGCATGTACTCACTGACTCGGGTCAAAACATCCGGCGGCAAAACCTGCAGCAAACAAGAGAGCCAGCACTGAGGACTGTGCACTCCCTTAACCCAGAGCATCAAGGCCACTAGTTACAGCACAGAGTGGGGAGTGGGACTAACCTTCCAGGTGTATGCCGTGCAGCCACTGTTAATAACGTTAAAAGATCCCATGGGACTATTCAAAAAGAGAGAGGAATTTCTCCTGGCGTCCATGCCAACAATCACCCAAATAAAATTGGTTCACGGCTGTTTGTGGGATACTGCTGTGCGCAACTGGCTATCTGACCAACAGTCCACCAGAAGTGGAACTGAGCTTGTGAGGATTATAAGTGGTGACTGATCCCCTCCAGCTCCACTGTCACAAGCAACACAAGAGGAGCCGAGCAGCACTCTCAGGACTCCGCACAAATACTTACATTAAGAGCATCCATGTCCTGATGGTAATCAGCCTCCCAGTGCTGGGGCAGTGTGGAAAAGATGGAGTTCTTAGTTAGCTGACTCCCGTACTGGTCATCCAGCCAATCACACAGCACGTCCTTTGCCTGGTCCAGCAACACCTGCAACAACTAGTAAGATTGACAGGTTCATGGTGCCACTCTGACTAACCAGGTCAACAATCCCACAGACAAAGATGGTCACGAGCTTTACAGCCGTTTGGTAGAGATTACTGTGTGCATATGAGGGCAGTGACGGACCCCAACCAAACTGCAGAGAATAGCTTCTGTCTCCACCCAACCTTGCTCACCCACCCGACCACACCCACCCAGCTCCCTCCCCTATACCGCTCCCCCACCCTGCTCCCCCACCCCTGCCCGTGCTCCACGCCCTGACCCACCCCAGCCCGTGACCCGCTACCCCACCTCGGTCTGCCTGGTGATCTCCTCTCCGGGAAGCGGCTGCTGCAGGGATGTGAGTGCGGACATCACCGATCTGTGAGTCCGTTCCAGCATCTGCTTTTTGTCCGGGTCTGTGGTTTCAGACAACTTCTCGGAGAAAGGCTGCAACAGAACAGGCAGGTCAAGGGCTGGATTGTGTGGGTGGGGCAGGGCTGTGGGGGTAGGTCTGTGGGGTTGGGGCTGTGTTGTAGGACTGTGCTGTGGAGGCGGAATTGTGGGGGCGGGGTTGGGGCTGTGGTGGCGGGGCTGCAACGGACGGGGATTCTTACCTTCAAAGCAGCAGTGACATCCTGCACCAACTGGGCTGCAGCCGGGCTCCGGCCCTTGTATTCCTCAAACAGGTGGTTGTGCCGGGCTCGCTTGATGATCTGCAGTGTGAGAAGAGCACAAGCGCACAGCATCCTGAGAGGCCAAGACCACAAGTGCACGCTTCTGGTGTGCTTTCAATTGAACCGGCTGACAGAGTGAGCTGTGTGCTGACACATTGAGCGGGGCTGTGTGCTGACACAGTGAGCGGGACTGTGTGCTGATACAGTGAGCGGGACGGTGTGCTGACAGTGTGCGGGACTGTGCGCTGACACAGTGAGCGGGACTGTGCGCTGACACAGTGAGTGGGACTGTGTGCTGACACAGCGAGCATCTTACCTTGTCGTCCACATCGGTGATGTTCATGCAGTAAAAGACGTCGTAATTGAAGTAGTTCATTAGGATCCGCCTCAGAATGTCAAAGGAGATGTAAGACCTGCAACAGCAGCCAGCGTCAGGGGTGGGGCCGCAGGCGAGGATGAAGGGGTGAGGAGGGTGAGGGGGGGCGTGGGCGAGCAAGAACGAACGAGAGATGAAGGGGGGGACGAGAGCGAAGGGGGGGGCCGAGAATGAAGGGGGGGGCCGAGAGTGAAGGGGGGAGCTGAGAGCGAAGGGGGGAAGGAGAGCGAAGAGGGGGGGAAGGAGAGCGAAGAGGGGGGACGAGAGCGAAGGGGGGGTGGGTTGAGAGCGAAGGGGGGGTCGAGAGCGAAGGGGGGGACGAGAGCAAAGGGGGGGTACGAAAGCGAAGGGGGGGACGAGAGCGGGGGTGGGGGAATGAGAGCGAGGGGGGGGATGGGAGTGAAGGGGGGGCACGAGAGCAAAGGGGGGGACGAGAGCGAAGCGGGGGACGAGAGCGAAGGGGGGACGAGAGAGAAGGGGGGGACGAGAGCGAAGGGGGGACGAGAGCGAAGGGGGGGACGAGAGCGAATGGGGGATGAGAGCGAAGGGGGGGACGAGAGCGAAGGGGGGGGGGACGAGAGCGAAGGGGGGGGGGGACGAGAGCGAAGAGGGGGACGAAAGTGAAGGGGGGACGAGAGCGAAGGAGGGACGAGAGCAAGGGGGAGATGGGTGAGGGCGCAGGGGAGGGGGCGCAGGCAAGAGGGGGGGGGCGATAGCAAGCCGTGGGTGAGGAAGGGGTGGCCGGTACCTGGCGTGTCCCATGTGAGAAGCATCATATACGGTGGGCCCGCAGCAGTACCATAGCACCTGTTTCCCATTCTGAGGCTGAAAGATTTCCTGAACCAGGAACAACACAAATAGTCAGCATCAGATCTCAGCTCCCCACCACCCCCAATCCCTGGCCCCAGAGCCTCCCCTCCCCAATCCATGTCAGACTGTTGCACTGACCTTGCTGCGAGTCAGACTGTTGTACAGACGTAAGGTGGGTTGGTCTGTTGCCGCTGGTGGGGCCCACGGTGGCTGAATTCTCTTGCCTTTGGCTGAAATAAAAACAGAAACATAGAATCATAGAATCTTACAGCACAGTAGGAGGCTATTCAGCCCATCATGCCTGTGCTGGCTCTTTGAAACAGCTTTCCAACTAATCCCACTCTTTTCACCCACAAAATATACAGTCAATTCAGTCAAATCCCCTTTGTACCCTCTCCAAGACCCTGACATCCTTCCGAAAGTGTAGTGCCCAGAATTGGACACAATACTCCAGCTGTGGCCTAAGCAGCAATTTGTAAAGTTTCAATGTAACTTCTTTGCTTTTGTATTCTATGCAATTTGTAAAGCCAATGATCCCATATGCTTTTTTAACAGTTTTGCCAAATTGTTCTGCCACCTTCAAAGATTTGTGTACGTTAATCTCTCTGTTCCTGAACCTCCTTTAAAATTTAAACCATCTAGCTTATATTGCCTCTCCTCATTCCCCTCCCAATTGCATCACTTCACAGTTCTCTGCATTGAATTTCATCTGAGATATTTCTGTCCATTTCACCAGCCTGTCCATGTCCTCCTGCAGGCTGCTACTATCCTCCTCGCTGTTTATTACATTTATTACATTTCCAAGTTTTGTGTCGTCAGCCAACTTTTGCTAGGTATACCCAAGTCCAGCCCCACTCATCCAAGGAGGAATGAAAGATTGTTGCCAGAGCCTGTGCTATTTCCATTCTTACTTCCCTTACTTCTAGGATGCATCCCATCCGGAATGGGTGACTTTTCTCCTTTGAGCACTGCCAACCTTTTAAGTACCACCACTCTATCTGATCCAGTTTCTCCTCCTTTACTGTGCATTACTTTACATACTTTTGTGAAGATAGATGCAAAGTACTCATTCAGTACCTTACTCATTCACCCAATGAAGATGAAAAAAAGAAGGAAAAGTGGTATTTTTATAGAAATGTCTCAAAGTACTTTACTGTCATTATGTATTTAGAGAAAAACACTGAAGTGAATGACCAATTGTTGGCCAGGACACCTGGAGAGAGACATCTTCTCTCTTCAAATAGTGCCATGGGATCTTCAACATCCACTTGACCAGGTAGATAGGACCTCAGTTTAACATCTCAACCTAATGACGGATCCTCCAGCAATACAGCACTCCCAAGCACTGAACTGGAGCATCACCCTGGATTTATGTTCCATTGCCAATGAGACCATCACTATAAAACCAGGATCAATTTGGATTATTTAGTGTGAGTGGGCACAGTTCTGGGATTAAAGAGGAGCGGAAAAATGCCGGTCAAGTAACTGGATACTTAGAGCACGGTACACGGGCATGCAACACCTGGGACCGTAAAATGTGCAGTGACACTCTGTGCGATCAGTCACTACTCACATGGGTGGAGTGTACAGGTCTTGGCATTATCTTGGGCGCTATCCCAAATAGCTGTGATGTGCCTGTACCAGCGCAGCAGGTGGTAGCAGTGATCGGGGGGTGGGTGTGCAAGGCACCGGAACACCTCCACATCAGCGTGGGAGAAGGTGAATCCGCTGATGTAACTGCGAGTGGCAAGGTATTGGTTCAGAACCTGCGCCCTGCTCTCCACATCACCAGCGCTAAGCAACTGGCTGTACAGGGAAGCTGCAAAATACAAAGCGAGCATAGCAAGTCCCAGGTCCCACAGCCCGTAACCCACACCTCTGTCCTCCCCGTGGCCCACTGCACATGTTAACTGACATGTGTTCACATTTCTCCACATATAATTCCCAGCTCCACAAGTCATCTTAAATGGTGTGAGGCAGCCGTCTGCCAGAATATCTGTGGCCACCAGGCAGGCACACACCACAGGGCGTCCTGTGTCGACTGTGTGTAAGCCATTGTGTTATGCGAAATGTGAAGACGGATCGATACACTGGTCTCTGGTCAGTGTGTGAGCGTGTAATATCGTAGCAAGCGTGTAATATCAGTGAGTGTGTAATATCACAGTGAGTGTATATCAGGGAATGTGTAATATCACAGTGAGTGCATATCAGGGAGTGTGTAATATCACAGGGAGTGTGTATCAGGGAGTGTGTAATATCACAGGGAGTGTATATCAGGGAGTGTGTAATATCACAGTGAGTGCATATCAGGGAGTGTGTAATATCTCAGTGTGTATCAGGGAGTGTGTAATATCACAGGGAGTGTGTATCAGGGAGTGTGTAATATCACAGGGAGTGTGTATCAGGGAGTGTGTAATATCACAGTGAGTGTATATCAGGGAGTGTGTAATATCTCAGTGTGTATCAGGGAGTGTGTAATATCACAGTGAGTGCATATCAGGGAGTGTGTAATATCACAGTGAGTGTATATCAGGGAGTGTGTAATATCACAGTGAGTGCATATCAGGGAGTGTGTAATATCTCAGGGAGTGTATATCAGGGAGTGTGTAATATCTCAGGCAGTGTGTAATATCACAGGGAGTGTGTATCAGGGAGTGTGTAATATCACAGGGAGTGTATATCAGGGAGTGTGTAATATCACAGTGAGTGCATATCAGGGAGTGTGTAATATCTCAGTGTGTATCAGGGAGTGTGTAATATCACAGGGAGTGTGTATCAGGGAGTGTGTAATATCTCAGTGTGTATCAGGGAGTGTGTAATATCACAGGGAGTGTGTAATATCACAGGGAGTGTGTAATATCACAGGGAGTGTGTAATATCTCAGGGAGTATGTAATATCACAGGGAGTGTGTATCAGGGAGTGTGTAATATCTCAGGGAGTGTGTAATATCACAGGGAGTGTGTAATATCTCAGGGAGTGTGTAATATCACAGGGAGTGTGTAATATCACAGGGAGTGTGTAATATCTCAGGGAGTGTGTAATATCACAGGGAGTGTGTAATATCTCAGGGAGTGTGTAATATCACAGGGAGTGAGGATTGATGTCGGCGGCACAGGACTCACCCGCCATCACTGCGCCTGATGCAACAACTGGAAGTGGCGGTGCCTGTAATTGACGTCATCACAGCGCGCCGCACCACGGTCATGTGATCAGTGTGTGCCATGTGATCTCTGGACGGTGTGTGCCATGTGATCTCTGGACAGTGTGTGCCATGTGATCTCTGGACAGTGTGTGCCATGTGATCTCTGGACAGTGTGTGCCATGTGATCTCTGGTCGGTGTGTGCCATGTGATCTCTGGACAGTGTGTGCCATGTGATCTCTGGATAGTGTGTGCCATGTAATCTCTGGTCAGTGTGCCATGTAATCTCTGGACAGTGTGTGCCATGTGATCTCTGGTCAGTGTGCCATGTGATCTCTGGACAGTGTGTGCCATGTAATCTCTGGACGGTGTGTGCCATGTGATCTCTGGTCAGTGTGCCATGTGATCTCTGGACAGTGTGTGCCATGTGATCTCTGGTGAAGCTGTGGGTCCCTCACTAGATGGCCTCGCACAATAGCTCTCTGACTGTCCATTGCTCCTTATGGGAGTCTGGAAAACAATCAAAAACAGAAGTTCAAAGGTGGAGCAAGACCCTTCGACAGTGGTGCTCTCTGCTTCCGCTCTGTGGTTTACCAATTACATGACCTCGGTGGAGAATGCAGAATGGAACAGCAATTGATCATGTAGTGGTGAGTGGCTTGGCACGTCCTATGCTCTCCAATTATGGGGCAAGAGCGGGAAACTGGACTGAGGTACAGATCAGCCATGATCTTATGAAATGGCAGAACTGGCTCGAGGGGCTGAAATAGCCTGTTTCTATTGAGTTGTTTGACATCACTGGGAAACCTCTGAGCACTGACAAGTCACCTGTTGTCAAGAGAAGAGCCCTTGCTCTCCGAGTGCAACTTCTGACCCTATGACATGGGGTGACTGTCAGCTTGGAGCCTGGTGTGTCTTGTGCTACAAGTGATTGTGCCGGAGTCCTCCGCCCCACAAAGGGTATTGCTGACCATGAACCCTGGGACCGATTCTGTGTGATGGGCAACACATGATGAAACTGGAAGCCATGGGAGTACAGGCCAAATCTGGGATTTTTTCTGAAATGTGTAGTCCTGCTCCAAGATCCATGTAAGGTTCGACACAGAACCTATCCCTCTGGAAAGGGGGGGTAAGGCAACGCTGCCCTTTGTCATTCACCCTATTCGATGTTTTCATCATCGATGTGTTGGGGTCATTGAGAGAGAAGGATGTGATGTATCTGTTCCAAGCCTCTCTGACAGGATTGCAGCTCTTCTGTTTCCGGACAATATTGTGTTACTGTTGGACTCACCTGGGAACATTCTGTGCTGCACCCGCTATTTTGAACACTGGACCAACCCGTGGGACATAATGTTGTTGCCCTTAAATGGGAATCATGGTTCTGCACGATTCGAGTGAAGACATTGAGGGAATTGATTGAGAGATACCAGGGGCATCAGTACCAATTGCTGATGCTTCCAGTGCCTTGGGATGTCCTCTCTTCAGCTATTGTTGGCCAGGAGACCAGGAGAAACTCCCCTCTTTTTGAATAGTGCCATGAAATTTTTAACATCTACCTAAACAAGCATAGACAGGACCTTGGTTTGTACCTCTGACAATGCACCATAGTCTCTGCCCCATCCCCAACCCCCACTGCATTGAAGTGTCAACCTAGATGATATGGGTCCCCAGCTCCCCCTACACTGGAAATGCACATTGTTAAGACAAATCGTAAGATAAAAGCTGATTCTGTTTAATAATAATTTCTGTACATTGAACACAAACAAGATTTATACATCTCAGTAAATAACAGGTCAGAAAATAGGAAGAATGCGAGTGTTGATGAGAGCAAAGCAGCAATCAGACCAATGTGTGAACTAGGAATAATTGCATTAAATCATTCAATCTGTTTCTCAGGTAAAATAATAGCTTCTTGGATCATAATAGTGCCATAACACCCCCGCCCCGTGCATAAACTATTGAAATTTCAAATCAGTCTGTCTCAGTGTTAGTACTGAACAGGGCATTTGTGGTCTCGCCGGTCTGGCTGCCTGTGCCACCTGTTCCCAGTCAGAGCTGGCAGTGGGTCACTGGGTGGCACTGCAGAGTGTCATACCAGCATATATACACAATTATTCACATTATTATACTATCAGAGTGGATTCAAAATATACAACCTGAACAAAAACCCTAACATTTAAAACCTCTAATTGCTGCTATCTCACAATGTCAGACACACACACATACACACACACACACACACACAGAGTCAGACAGACACAGTTTCTCTCTCTCTCACACACACACAGTCAGACACACAACGAGGACTAAGTTGGGTCAGTGCAGTCTTTAGTTAAACCTTGTGTGTAAAGTGCTCAGTATAACAAGGCTCAGGCTCCATGGGACAGAGGCTCCACATCAGCCACTCCACATTCAGTGTCAGTGCTTTGAACACAATAACTCCCACACTAACGCACGCACCCCCCCCTTCCCAGGGGCACCCTAGATTGTCGGGGGGGGGGGAAGGGGGTGCAGGGTTGATTCCCTTGGTTCCAGAATGTTCACTAAACATCTGTTTCAAGAATATCAAACATTAAAAGTAGATCCAGGCACATCTTGTGACTGGCGCGTGTGTGTGTGTGACTGGCCTGGTGTGTGTGTGTGTGACTGGCCTGGTGTGCGTGTGTGACTGGTGTGTGCGTGTGTGACTGGCGTGTGCGACTGGCTTGCGCGTGTGTATGAGACTGGTGTGTGTGTGTGTGACTGTTGTGTGGGTTATACGGCATGGCCGTTGGCTGTGCCGTGGCTCTGGACAGCGGAGTAGTTCTGGTAAATGAGATCGGGTGCATTCTCATAAATGCTGTTGGTGCCTTGGCTTCTCCGTGACTCGATGTAATCTTTCGCACAGCGATTCAGGAAGACATACTGAGACTAGGGGAGAGAATGTGAGAGAGAGAGAGAGAGAGTGTGAGACAGAGAAACTGAGACAGAGACAGGAGATGTCATGGGCAGAGGGTGCATGTGAGAGACAGTGTGATACGGAGAGCAGAGAGAGAGAGAATGTGTGAGTGAGAGTGAGTGTGACAGAGAGTGTGTGTATGAGAGTGAGCTGGAGAGAGTGAGAAATGGAGTATGAGAGTGTGGCAGAGAGAGTGAGATACAGAGAGAGAGAGCGACACAGAGAGTGTGAGTGGCCGTAGCCACAGCTCTCACCTCAGTTTGGACCATCAGCGTTCGGTGCATGCGGAGGTCACACACTGTCCCGAAGATATCCACACTGTTATCATTGTCAATCTGGTACATCAGCCGATCAACAGAGATAAACGTCCCTGTTCGGCCCACACCGGCACTGAGAGAAGGACAGGGAGAGTGTGTGAGAGTGAGAGAATGTGTGTGTGTGGAGGGTGAGGGCAGTGTGGGGGAGGGGGGAGGAGTGGGAGAGGGGGGGTCAGAGTGGGGAAAAAATGGGGGAGGTGGGTACCTGCAGTATGTGTGTTGGGGTGGGGTTTGGAGAGAGGGCGGGAGGTGAGGAGTGGGGATGGGTGCCTGCAGGATGTGTTTTGGGGTGGGGAGGTAGAAGTGTGGGTGGGGAGGTAGGAGTGGGGGAGATGGGTAGGAATGGGTGTCTGCAGTGTGTGTGTGTGTGTTGCAGGAGGTGGGGGGGTTAGGAGTATCAGTGGGTGTCTTAGTGGGTGCGTTGAGGGTGCAGGTACCTGCAGTGCACCACAGTGGGGCCTCCTGGGTGCTGGTCCAGATATTGCCGCACCAGGTCCCTGAAGTCGAGCAGCAGTTGGGTGTTGTTGGGAACGTTGTGGTCAGGCCAGGCCAAGAAATGGAAGTGGCGGACAGTGCGACGCTCCCCGGACGTGGCCTGTGCCAGAGAGAGAAGTATCACACCACAGGCTCCGCTGTGACCCCAACACTGACCCCAGACTCTCCCCTATGTGTGCATTTGTGTGGGGAGGGGGGGGGTGGGATCTGTGTTTGTGGGGGTCTGTCTCTCTGTGTGTGTGTCTCTGTGTGGGGAGTCTCTGTGTGGGGGGGGGTGGGGGTCTGTCTATGTGTGTGTGGTCTCTCTGTGGGGTGGTCTTTCTGTGTTGGGGGTCTCTCTGTGTGGGGGTGGTCTGTGTGAGTGAGTGTGTGGGGGAGGGGTGTCTCTGTGTGTGTGGGCGTGGTCGCTGTGGGGGATCTCCCTCTATCCGTGTGGGGGGGTCTCCCTCTATCCGTGTGGGGGGTTCTCCCTCCGTCCGTGTGGGTGGGGGGGGTCTCACTCCGTACGTGTGGGTGGGGGGTTCTCCCTCCGTCCGTGTCGGTGGGGGGTCTCCCTCCGTCCGTGTGGTTCGGGGGGGTCTCCTTCCGTCCGTGTGGGTCGGGGGGTCTCCTTCCGTCCGTGTGGGTCGGGGGGGTCTCTCTCCGTCCGTGTGGGTCGGGGGGGTCTCTCTCCGTCCGTGTGGGTGGGGGAGGTCTCTCTCCATCCGTGTGGGTGGGGGTGTCTCTCTCCGTCCGTGTGGGGGGGGTGTGTCTCTCTCTATCCGTGTGGGGGGGGGGTGTCTCTCTCCGTCCGTGTGGGGGGGGGGGTTTCTCTCCGTCCGTGTAGGGGGGGGTCTCTCTCCGTCCGTGTGTGGGGGGGTCTCTCTCCGTCTGTGTGTGGGGGGTCTCTCTCCGTCCGTGTAGGGGGTTCTCTGTGTGTGCGCTGGTGGGGGGGGGGGGTCTCTGTGTGTGCGGCGGGGCGGTGGGGGGGGTCTCTGTGCGTGCGCCTGAGGGGGTCTCTGTGTATGTGCCTTGGGGGGTGTCTCTGTGTGTGTGCCGGGGGGGGGTCTCTGTGTGTGCGCGCCGGGGTGGGGGGGTCTCTGTGTGTGCGCGGGGTGGGTTTCTCTTTGTGCGACAGTGGGGGTTGTGCCTCACCTTCTCCAGCTTGAAATCTCTGATGGTCCAGTCAGTGAGAAGGATCTCGGAGGTGAGGGAGACGGTTGTGTTGTTGATGGTCAGAGGCTGGTCTGTAGGCCAGTACTCCTCACACTTAGTCTGGGAACAACAGCGAACATCATCAGCCACTCAGCTGCTATTACAGCCCAATGCCGCTTGTACCAATCTGTGCCAAAACAGGCGCTGAGTGCGTGTGGCGCTGAGTGTGCGTGTGGCGCTGAGTGTGGGTGTGGCGCTGAGTGTGCGTGTGGCGCTGAGTGTGCGTGTGGAGCTGAGTGTGCGTGTGGCGCTGATGTGCGGTGGCGCTGAGTGTGGGTGTGGCGCTGAGTTGGGGTGGCGCTGAGTGTGCGGTGGCGCTGAGTGTGGTGTGGAGCTGAGTGTGGGTGTGGCGCTGAGTGTGGGTGTGGAGCTGAGTGTGCGTGTGGCGCTGAGTGTGCGTGTGGCGCTGAGTGTGGGTGTGGCGCTGAGTGTGGGTGTGGCGCTGAGTGTGCGTGTGGCGCTGAGTGTGGTGTGGAGCTGAGTGTGGTGTGGCGCTGAGTGTGCGTGTGGTGCTGAGTGTGCGTGTGAGGCAGCGTGTATGTCCTCACGTATCCGTGTTTGTGTGTGTGAGGTACTGTGTGTGTGTGTGTGGCGTAGCGTTTGTGTATGAGGAGCTGTTTGTGTGTCCTAACGTACCCGGCCTTGCTCCACACACTTGGTCAGCATGACGATCGCCGGCACCCGCTTCTCCCACACCATCTGCCAGAAATCAACCACCGTGCCCGGCAGCGGGCCCTGCGCAGCTATGAACTCTCTAGGCCTGTTATAGCCCTGTCCAGACACAGCACAGCGTGAGACACAGCGCAGATAGAACAGAACGACCATTTGCATTCAAAGAGGCAGCGTCTCTGAGCGCTTGACAGAGGTGGAGCCTGATGCCGAGTCGGGGGACAGGAGGACATGGCCGCAAACACGTTCATGATCCGAATGAGGGGGAAGAATGGGGCGAGGTGGAGGGATTGGGGAAGAGAGTGCCAAACCTTCGGGGTGTAGTGGCTAAAAGCACGGGCGCCAATGGTGGAGGGGATGAAGGGAAGTGCAGGAACGGAGGCAGTGGGTGGTGGGATGGGGAGTAAGCAGGTTGAAGGGGTAGGGATGTCTCAGGGCATGAAAGGATTTGTAGATGCGAGGATCTTGACCTCGATCTGTTCTGTGATCAGAAGCCAGTGGAGCCTGGGGAGGACTGGTATGATGGGGGTACGGAGTTTAGAGCGGGTGAAAATAAGGGCGGCGGAGTTTTGAATACGCAGTGATTGGGGTTCACGGCACACAGCGAGGGCGAACACACAGCGAGGGCTGGAGAGATGCAGTCACCGTGGCAGAGTGGGCGGGGCGGTGGCAGAGTCACTCACTGGCACTAAGTTGGCATTGATGTAATCACTTGCAGGGTTTGAGAGCTTCACACGACTCACATCGTCTGAAGGAACAAAGTCATTGTTAGAGAGAGGCAGGTAGAGACAGAGATACAGTGTGAGAGAGAGAGAGAAGCAGGAGGAAAGAGACAGACAGATAGACAGAGAGACAACGAGAGAGAGTGAGAGACGAGAGAGAGAGAGATAGCGAGACAGAGAGAGAGAGAGACAGTGAAAGAGAAAGCGAGTGACAGAGGGGGTGGAGGTGGTTCTTACTCACAGGGCAGGACATTATTGTAACGGTTCTTGGCTCTGTTGCTGGCCTCCTGTGCTGCGTGGGTGGATTGTTTGGTCCCCAAGGGTTTCAGGTCCTGAACAGGGGAAAGAGAATTCACTGCCCTGCTCGCACACACCTGGCACACAGCATGGTACACACTACACACACACGGCACACACACACACACACACAGCGTGGAACACAAAGCAACAGTGAGCGGAGCAATCACTCACCTCGAATTCCTCAGCGAATCCACAGTCCGTGTCAGCATGTTGCTTGTTGTAGTAATTCTCAAAGTGATCCACCTGGATAACACTACAGGGAGAGCAGCATTACTACAAAGCCACCTCTACACCGTCTGTCCACACTCCCAGGTCAGCCACAGCACGGGTTAGAGACAGAGAGAGTAAAGCTCCCTCTACACTGTCCACGCATGAGATGCATTCTTGAATAATCAGAAGACTCATACTCACTTTCTTGCCACTCTGTAAAACAGAAACAAAAGAGAATCGATACCTGATTCGTACTCCCAATGCCCCACCCCTACCCAATCCCAACCCAAGCGCACCGGCCCACTCCCTCCCTCCATCCCGCCCCCCACCTTGGTTCGGTTGAGCGAGCTCTGCAAGGGGCTGTTACCTGATATCAGTGATAGGAACTATAACCTCGTCCTTTCTCTCCTGTTTCCGCCTGCAAAGAGAGACAAGTGACACTGCAAGGAGTGAGAAGCAGGGAATAGGGGGCGGAGGGTGGAGAGCTGGGGTGGGGGTGAGTTGGGTGGGGGGAGCCATGGGTGAGGGGGGAGTCAGGTGAGGGGGGAATCGGAGTGCGGGGTAAATCGGAGGGGGTGACGGGGGGGGAGTCGGGTGGGGGGTCGGAGAGGGGTGGGGGAGCAAGGTGTGGGGGGGGGGAGCGAGCTTCGAGGGGAGTCTCTCAGTTGCTGTACACGTCACTCACCGTCTCCTCCAGTAAAACAGACCGAAGACCAGGAGCAAAACAACAGCCAAGCCCAGGAGAGTCCCGACAACAGCCCCAGCAATAACACCTGCAACACACACAGTGTATATACACACACACCACACACACACAGACTGCGCACACACACATACACACACACTGTACACCAGGGGTGGGCAAAAGACGGCCCACGGGCCATATCCGGCCCGCCAAATAATTCTATCTGGCTTGTCAATGTGTCTAGCAATAGAAAAAATTATAGTTCATTCAGTCCCAGAAAGTCGAACAAATTTTGCATTTGAATCAGACCGGGAACATCAGCCAATTACACTGCTTAGTTGTGCGCGCGCTCCCTTAAGTGTTGAATCAGGCTGACGTCAGAAATGTATGGATCGGCAAATTTTCAAACACGCCTTTTCACTGAAGAGGACGTTAATTCGAAATGAGTTTATCAAAGAAGCGGAAAGTGGACGCTGGAGACCGAATATTCAACAAAGAATGGACTTCTAAATCTTTTTTTTAAACCAGTGTGTGCGTGGAAAAGCTGTGTGCTTAATTTGCAAAGAAAGTGCGGCAGTGCTCAAAGACTACAACTGGAATCGCCATTTTGAGAGCATACTGGTTGTTCGAATGCAAAAAGAGCAAAGCATTTTCACAAAACTATTTGGGTCCCAGGATGAGATTACAAGAGTGAGTTACGTGATTGCACTCAAAATCGCCAAGAACAGCAAACCATTCTCTGAAGGAGAATTTATAAAGGAATGCATGGTTGACTCTGCCTCGATTTAATTCCCAGACAAGAAAAAACAGTTCGAGAACATTAGCTTGTCAAGGCGAAATATTGTGAGACGTGTCAAGGATATCTCTTGAGAACCTGTATCTGCAGTTACAAAATAAAGTAAGCAATTTTGCATGTTTTTCACTGGCACTCAATGAGAGTTGTGATGTCAAAGACACAGCCCAATTGACAATTTTTATCTCGAGGTATCACTAAAGATTTTGAGCTCACAGAAGAATTGGCATCAATGCAGTCAATGAAAGATACGACAACTGGAGAAGACTTTTTGGAGGCAGTAAATAAGTATATCTTAATATTAGGAGTGGAAAAAATTGGTGAATATGACCACTGATGGAAGCCCAAATCTGACAGGCAAAAATGTTGGGTTATTGAAAAGAATTCAAGATCAAGTCAAAGAAACAAATCCAGAACAGAATATTGTTTTTTCTACACTGCATTATCCACAAAGAGGTCCTTTGTAAGCGTGTTCTAAAATTAAGCAATGTTGTGGACACAGTTACGAAAGTGGTCAACTACATTCGAGCAAGAGGATTAAACCACAGGCAATTTGTAACTCTGCTTGACGAATTGGAATCCGAGCACATGGATGTTCTGTATCACACGAATGTAAGATGGCTTAGTTTAGGAAAGGTCTTGAAAAGAGTGTGGGAACTGAGAACAGAGATTGATTTATTTTTGGACATGAAACAAAAAGATTCGGATTTCCCACAGCTGAATGATGTGAATTGGCTCTCTGATTTCGCATTTGCCGTTGATATCATGGGCCACATGAATTCAAAACTGCAACGGAAGGGGGGCTTTGTGCACGATTTGTATTGCAGTGTCAAGTCATTTATGGTAAAGTTATTTATTTTATCGCATCAGATACGAAACAGATAGTTCGCCCACTTTCCAACTTCGTAGCAGATTACTCTTTGTGATCAAAGCCTTAAAGTATACTTTATCACTACTTGATTTACATGCCAAATTTTCTCACTGATTCCAGGATTTCAATTTGATCAAAAATGACCTGTCTTTGGTCTCTTCACCTTTCTCATTTGATGTTGACAAAGCCCCAATTGACCTCTAGCTCGAGCTTATTGACCTGCAATGTGATCCATTGCTTGCGGAACAATTCAAATCAGTGCCACTTCCCAGTTTTTATGCCTCTCTTAATGAATATAACTTTCCAAAAGTAAAAGCCTGGAGGATACTTGTGCTGTTTGGATCAAAATACACACGTGAGGAGAGATTTTCTATGATGAAATTCAATAAATCAAAACAGATCTGTGATGACTGATGACCACCTTGCAGCAGTACTCCGCATTGCAACAACGGAGACGATGCCTAACTTCAATTGTCTGGTTAATAACACACATCAGTGCTTTAATTCTTCCCATTGAGTGAGCGTTTCACATTCTCATCAATATGTGAATAAATGAATAAATATTGAATAAATGTTTGCTCAATGAGTTGTTTTATTTAACCTAATTTTAATGAATGTCAATGATATAGACTTTATTTTATGCAAGTGTAAGACTTGATTTTGAGCTATTATTAAGCATTTGCATCTATATTAAGTGTATGGCCCGCGAAGCTTAGTGAAACTCGTGAAGTGGCCCGCCAGCCAAAATAATTGCCCGCCCCTGCTGTACACACACTGCACCGACAGCGGGGAGGTGATTGTGTGGGTGGAAGGGTGAGGTGGGAGGATGCAGGGTCTTACCTGGGTCTTGCGGAGTTTGGATCTGGTTGGAGTAAAGGTATGAGGTGAAGAAGGATTGTGTTATATTAATTCTGTTTGCGTTTGTCAGCTTCAAATGTGTAAATCCAACCAGACTGAGTCTGTAGAGAAAGAAGAGAAAAAGGATTGAAACTAGGGAGCGAGATATGAGGGAAAGATAGTTGGGGAGCAAGGAAGGGAGAGGGAGGATGGTGGCCGGACAGTGGAGGGAATGACTGGGTGCAGGCTGTGAGGTGTGCCACTGCCTATTATTATTTATATTGCAGAATAATAATAATAATAATCCTTGCATTTGATATAGCGCTTTTCACGTCGGGAGGACGTCCCAAAGCGCTTCACAGACACTGTAAAGTGAATTGACTGTATATTTGTGGGCGAATGCGGCAGCCAATTGCGCACAGCAATGTCCCACAAACAGTCGTAGATTGAAAATGACCAATTTATTATTGTTTTTTTTTTGGAGGGATTATTATTAGGCTCTGTGTGGAGTAAGGAAACTTGCCCAAGGTTTCGCCCTGACCTTCCTACTAGACGAAGAAAGACCAAGTTTCATCTAGTTCGCCTTGCACCTCCCTAGCAGTCGCATGCACATATGTCCCAAACTACCTGTGTACTATATCACATAATGTTATTTCCTAAAAGAAAATGATCTAATCTGTGTTTGCAAGATATAGTGCCTTACCATTTCATCGAGACGTCTCACAGCGCTTCACAGGACATACTGTTTGCGGTGGGCTCACAGCCCAGACTGAGGAGAGCAGGGACTTGCCTGTATTTGCTGAGGGGATGCAGTTTGCCATTGTAGTCGGCCAGTACCTTCTCTCCGTTCCCCACGGTGACAGTGTGGGTGATGTTGCTGGCCCGCGCTGTCTGTGTGCGGTTTACCAGGTACGTGATGTAGGCGGCCGCGTTGTCGCTGTACATGTTCCCTATGCTGCTTTTGTCAGGTTCATCTGTGAGAGACACACGCTCAGCAAGCTTCATATCATACCTCACAGCGAGGGGGGCGGGCAGGGCAGGGGTGCAGTGGGAGGATTGCAGTGGGGGAAGGGGGTGGGGACCAGTGGGAGATGGGGGGGGGGTCAGCGGGAGAGGTGCTGCGCAGGGGGTTCACACTGTATGTGACTTCCTGCAAGTAGAATCACAAACAGTGGCAAGGAAAGGGCAGTCATTGGGATACCCACTCCGACTTGTTCCCCTCAGCCCCGGCCCCACACCACAGCACTGCCCTGTCAGCCCCAACGCCCCAGCACTGCCCCAGCCTCACCCCAGCACTGACCCCCAAGCCCCAACCTCAGCACTCACTGCCACGATCCTTCTCTGTCCCCACCACCACAGCGATGGCCTGGATCCGCCCATTTGTGGAATCGAAGCTGTTGTCCAAGAAGGTGAACACCAGCGAGTTGTGTGACACGGTGAGTTGTGTAACCGGCAGTCGCTCAGCCGGCTTGGGAGGGTCTGTAATAATAATAATAATAATAATAATCCTTGCATTTGATATAGCGCTTTTCACGTCGGGAGGACGTCCCAAAGCGCTTCACAGAACACACTGTAAAGTGAATTGACTGTATATTTGTGGGCGAACGCGGCAGCCAATTGCGCACAGCAATGTCCCACAAACAGTCGTAGATTGAAAATGACCAATTTATTATTGTTTTTTTTTGGAGGGATTATTATTAGGCTCTGTGTGGAGTAAGGAAACTTGCCCAAGGTTTCGCCCTGTGCCTGGAATTGAACTCAGGTCTCTCACTTGCAAAGCGAGTGCTCTAACCACTGAGCTACAGGACTCCACTGTAACGGGCAACAAGCAACATTCAGTCTCAGCCTGATCCCTGCCAATCAGTTGGCTTTTCCGCAGTATTCCAGGGCGCTGCTGGTGATAGCTCAGCCAGCCTGGCTCATTGGCAGGACTCGGAGGGGCAGAACAGTCACTGGGGGCAGGGAATCTTCCCACTCAGCTCCTGTGAACCCTGCAGGCCAAAGCCCTAACAATTAACAATAATCCTTGCATTTGACAGCAATGTCCCACAAACAGCCACGGAGTGATCCATTTTATTGGTGGATTGTTTGCCGGACATCGGGAAAAGAGAAACTCCCATCTCTTTTCGCAAGGCGCCATGGAATCTTTAACGTTCACCTGAACAGGCAGACGGCACTTTGTAGATGAGAGAAAGACAGGGAGAGAGAGACAGACAGCGACACAGACAGTGAGAGACAGGGAGGGTGAGAGACAGACACACACACACACACACACACACAGAAAGGGTGAGAGAGACAGAAAGATAGTCAGAGACAGGGAGACAGAGACACACAGACAGGGCGACACAGAGAGACACACACACACACAGGGAGACCGAGACACATACAGACAGACAGGGAGATAGAAACATAGACACACGTACAGAGAGACAGCGACATCCAGACACAGAGACAGAGACACACAGAGAGAGAGAGAGAGAGCAGTGCTCACCTGTGATGCTGGTCTGGCAGAGCTTGCTGACAGGCTGGCTGTTCCTGCCGCAGGATGTGCTGATGATGGAGAGTTCGTATTTGGTACCAAACCGCAAGCCGGTCAAGTTCTCTGTGCTGCCCGTGGGGCACTGAGAGTAGGTTTTGGTGACATTGGACCCGGTGGCCATGCTGAGCGGGGAGGCTTGCACCCTGAAGCTGATGTACTCTCCCTCTGGGCAGTCCCAGGCCAGTGCCAGCTGGTCCTGCCTCTCCACTGGCTCACACGTAAAACTGTCAACACTCGCCGCGTCTGACACACAAAGGGCACATCAGCACACACAGAGAGACAGCGCGTGCAGAGACAGAGAGAACACAGAAAGAGAGAGAGCATAGTCAGAGCGTGGGAAGAAAGAGCGAAAGAGAGAGCGCAGAGAGAGAGAGAGAATACAGAAAGAGAGTACAGAGAGAGAGTGTGAGGGGAGAGAGAGCATGTGGGGAGAGATACACACAGACAGAGAGGGCACGAGGGAGAGAGAGAGAGCACAGAGAGAGAGAGAGAGTGCGGAGGAGAGAGTGTGGGGAGGGGAGAGAGTGGAGTGGGGAGGGAAGAAAGTGGGGAAGGGAGACAGAGAGAGAGTACAGAGAGAGTGGGGGGAGAGTGAGATGCAGAGCGAGAGAGAGAGAGAGCACCCAGAGAGGGCTTGAAGAGCAGGGAATGGAGAGAGTGGGAGGTGATCCTCACCAGTGCATGCGAACTTGGTAGCTGGGCTTCCTTCCATCCCGTTTTCAGTCTGGCTAAAGACAGAGAAAGCGAAGTTCTTTCCTGGCTTGAGTTGAGGCACGGTAACAGTTAGTTTCGGGCCACTCTGATTGTATCCCTCTGTCTGCACACGGTATGTATAGGAAGTGTCTGCCCCCAGGGGCTCATCCCACTGCAGTTTGACAGAGGTGCTGTTGATGTCCGTAACTTGCACGTTCGTCACTGGGTTTGGCTCTGCAAATAACACAAGATCTTTCCTAAACATGAGTTTGATTTTGCTCTTGCTGATCATGTCTTTGATCTCATTCCACAGCCTTTACACGACGCTGGCTCAGCCTCGGGCATTCCTGCCCACCAGAGCCGTCCTCACATTCGTGTGGACCCATGACAGGAAGTCGTGAACACGACCCTCAAGCTATAACAGGCTTGTGGACGGACAGTGCAGAGGGAGCTTTACTCTGTCTCTAAACCGTGCTGTCATTTTATTCATCCCAATTCATCCTTCCTCTGGGGCCCTGTGAGACACTACACTCCCCGCATGAGAAGGAGAGCGGGGAGGAATTGGGACGCTTGTGGACTGGGCACTGGAGGGCAGGCAGCATGTGGAGAGGCAAATCCAGAGAGATGGGAGCCAAACCCCAGTCCCCGGGCCTGTACTTACTGGTACAACCTGATACAGGTTCAGATGCGATGCTGTGGGGCCCACTGTTGGTAGCCACAGTGATGGTGTAGCAGCGGCCAGGCTGTAGGTTGATGATTGTGTATGATGTGTTTGGGGGGAACACGGTGAAGGTCCTGTCATAGGCTGAAAGGTTCCGATGATCTTGGACATGGATGGTATAATTCTCCACATTGCCAGGCGGAGTGTGCCAGGTCACCTTCAGAGAGGTTGTGCTCCCTTGGTTCTCCACCGTCATGTTGCTGATTGGTATTTGCTCAGGTTCTGTTGGACAAAAACAAGGTTAAACTGGTTCAGTCACTCGCACTCTTGCTGCTCACAAAAAAAAAGTCGTTGGTTGAAGTCCCACCATCGGGGACTTTGAGCTCACAGTGTTGACTGAAGCTCCAGTGCAGTGCTGGGGGAGCGCTGCACTGTCGGAGGTACCGAACTTAGGTCGAGACATGAAACCGAGGACCCGTCTGTGCCTGTCCAGGTGGATGGACACTGAAGATCCGGCAGTGCTATTGGTAATGAGAAGGGAGTTTCATTCTCCCAGTGTCCTGGCCGATAATCCCCGGATAGACGTTCACCTCACGGCTGTTAATGGACATTGATGTGTATAAATTAGCTATCACGTTCACGACAAACACAGTCAATACACCTGACAGCAACTGTGTGAGGCGCTTTGAGACATTTCTCATCACTAATGTCAATAAAATGTTTAAAGAGCAAGAAAGAGCAAGTTAACACTCGCTTGGGATCATGAACGGTAACCAGCCCCTACTCCCGGTAAGCAGACCTGCCCACAGGGCCCCCGGCACCTGCCCACAGGGCCCCCTGGGCCCCCCAGGTCAGTGGCCACTCCCCAGATATATAGACCGTCCATCAGGTAAATATTCACTCCCCCAGGTAATAGCCCCTCTTCATGGTAACCAGCAACCCATCATTGTAACCAGCACTGCCCCACCCTTGGTAACCAGAACACCTCCCGCCCATGGTAACCAGCACACACCCGCCCAAGGTAACCAGCAGACCCTCCGCCCATGGTAACCAGCACCAACCACACCCATGGTAGCCAACAACCACCACCATGGTAATGAGCACCCGCCTTTTTAGTAACCAGCCCCTCACCATGGGAATCAGCCCCTCCCCATGGTAAGCAGGCAGTGCTCTCTGTGGGCAATAGAACAGCACTTACCTGTGTACTGAGTCACTGACAGAAAATTGCTCTGCAGTGAGTTTGCTCCGATAGTAGCCACAGAGATGTAGTACTCAGTGCCAGCCGTTAGGTGGTCAATCACAATGCTGTTTTTTATTGCGGTGAGATTCTGAGCGTCAGAAGCGTGGCTCCGGGAGGTGACACTGAAGTTGTAAGTCCCTGCAGTCATGTTTGCAGGTTCTCCCCAGGTCAGGGAGATGGCGCTGGTATTGACACTCAACACTTTGATGGGTCCAGGAAGACTGGGAACTGCGGGGAAACACAGAACAAAGCAGGACCATGGGAACAAGCACCAGATTCACAAGATCTCATCTGATCTCATCCTTCAAGATACCCCGTCTCACCCTCTTCCCATCACAGCATCAATCTGTTGCCTAAATGAGTCTGGTGTTCGGGCCTCAACCGCACTTCCTGCTAACCTGTTCATGTCATTAATTAGCCTCTGAGTAAAGAAACACTTTGTGGTGTCTGTCCTGAAATTCTCTTTGCCACTCTAAATCACACCCCCCTCAACCCCAGTTACAGACCCTCCCAACCAGTAATGAGACGCTCCACCCGGTGACCAGCTGGGTCTGGGAATAATCTTATCACCTGTGATGTTGAGCCTATGACGTGAGTGTGTGTTGGGTGAGGGAACATCGCCAGAAGAGGAGCAGAGGAGAGCGGGGAGGATTTGGGAAGCTTGTGGACTGGGCAGTGGAGGGCAGGCAGCATGTGGAGAAGCAAATCCAGAGAGATGGGAGCCAAACCCCAGTCCCCGGGCCTGTACTTACTGGTACAACCTGATACAGGTTCAGATGCGATGCTGTGGGGCCCACTGTTGGTAGCCACAGTGATGGTGTAGCAGCGGCCAGGCTGTAGGTTGATGATTGTGTATGATGTGTTTGGGGGTAACACGGTGACGGTCTCGTCATAGGCTGAAAGGTTCCGATAATCTTGGACGTGGATGGTATAATTCTCCACATTGCCAGGCGGAGTGTGCCAGGTCACCTTCAGAGAGTTTGTGCTCCCTTGGTTCTCCACCGTCACGTTGCTGATTGGTATTTGCTCAGGTTCTGTTGGACAAAAACAAGGTTAAACTGGCTCAGTCACTCGCACTCTTGCTGCTCACAAAGAAAGGTTGTTGGTTGAAGTCCCACCATCGGGGAATTTGAGCTCACAGTGTAGACTGAAGCTACAGCGCAGTGCTGGGGGAGCTCTGCACTGTCGGAGGTACCGAACTTAGGTCGAGACATGAAACTGAATCCCGTGTGTCTGTCCAGGTGGATGGACACTGAAGATCTGGCAGAACTATTAGTAATGAGAAGGGAGTTTCACTCTTGTGGTGTCCTGGCCGATAATCTCCCGGATAGATATTCACCTCACGGATGTTATTGGACATTGATGTACATAAATTGGCTGTCAGGTTCACTACAAACACAGTCACTACAGCTGACAGCAACTGTGTGAGGCGCTTTGAGACATTTCTCATTACGGACGTCAATAAAATGTTTAAAGAACCAGAAAGCGGAAGTTAACATTCGCTCGGGAACGTGAATGGTAACCAGCCCCTCCTCGAGATGACCACCCCCTCCCTATGATAACCAGCCCCTACTCCTGGTAACCAGACGGTCCCCAAAGTCACCAGCACCTCCAGCTAAATCATCAGTCCCTCTCTCTGTTGAGCAGACTCCAGGCCACCAGCCCCTGCCCACCGGGCCACCAGCCCCTGCCCACCCCGGGCCACCAGCCCATGCCCCCCCGGGACACCAGCCCCTGCACCTGGGTCACTAGACCCTCCCTCTAGGTAACCATCCCCTCCCCATGGTAAGCAGGCAGTGCTCTCTGTGGGCAGTGGAACAGCACATACCTGTGTACTGAGTCACTGACAGAAAATTGCTCTGCAGTGAGTTTGCTCCGATGGTGGCCACAGAGATGTTGTACTCAGTGCCAGCCGTTAGGTGGTCAATCACGATGCTGTTGTTTATTGCGGTGAGATTCTGAGCGTCAGAAGCGTGGCTCCGGAAGGTGACATTGAAGTTGTAAGTCCCTGCAGCCATGCTTGCAGGTTCTCCCCAGGTCAGGGAGATGGCGCTGGTATTGACACTCAACACTTTGATGGATCCAGGAAGACTGGGAACTGCGGGGAAACACAGAACAAAGCAGGACCATGGGAACAAGCACCAGATTCACAAGATCTCATCTGATCTCATCCTTCAAGATACCCCGTCTCACCCTCTTCCCATCATAGCATCAATCTGTTGTCTAAATGAGTCTGGTGTCCAGGCCTCAACCGCACTTCCTGCTAACCTGTTCATGTCAATAATTAGCCTCTGAGCAAAGAGACACTTTGTGGTGTCTGTGCTGAAATTACTCTTTGCCACTCTAAATCACACCCCCCTCAACCCCAGTTACAGACCCTCCCAACCAGTAATGAGACGTTCCACCCGGTGACCAGCTGGGTCTGGGAATAATCTATCACCTGTGATGTTGAGCCGATGACGTGAGTGTGTGTTGGGTGAGGGAACATCGCCAGAAGAGGAGCAGAGGAGAGCGGGGAGGATTTGGGAAGCTTGTGGACTGGGCACTGGAGGGCAGTCAGCATGTGGAGAGGCAAATCCAGAGAGATGGGAGCCAAACCCCAGTCCCCGGGCCTGTACTTACTGGTACAACCTGGTACAGGTTCAGATGCGATGCTGTGGGGCCCACTGTTGGTAGCCACAGTGATGTTGTAGCAGCGGCCAGGCTGTAGGTTGATGATTGTGTATGATGTGTTTGGGGGTAACACGGTGACGGTCTCGTCATAGGCTGAAAGGTTCCGATGATCTTGGACGTGGATGGTATAATTCTCCACATTGCCAGGCGGAGTGTGCCAGGTCACCTTCAGAGAGGTTGTGCTCCCTTGGTTCTCCACCGTCATGTTGCTGGTTGGAATTTGCTCAGGTTCTATTGGACAAAAACAAGGTTAAACTGGCTCAGTCACTCGCACTCTTGCTGCTCACAAAAAAAGGTTGTTGGTTGAAGTCCCACCATCGGGGAATTTGAGCTCACAGTGTAGACTGAAGCTACAGCGCAGTGCTGGGGGAGCTCTGCACTGTCGGAGGTACCGAACTTAGGTCGAGACATGAAACCGAGATCCCCTGTGTCTGTCCAGGTGGATGGACACTGAAGATCTGGCAGAACTATTGGTAATGAGAAGGGAGTTTCACTCTTGTGGTGTCCCGGCCGATAATCTCCCGGATAGATATTCACCTCACGGCTGTTATTGGACATTGATGTACATAAATTGGCTGTCAGGTTCACTACAAACACAGTCACTACACCTGACAGCAACTGTGTGAGGCGCTTTGAGACATTTCTCATTACGGACGTCAATAAAATGTTTAAAGAGCCAGAAAGCGGAAGTTAGCATTCGCTCTGGAACGTGAATGCTAACCAGCCCGTCCTCGAGATGACCACCCCCTCCCTATGGTAAACAGCCCCTACTCCTGGTAACCAGACGGTCCCCAAAGTCACCAGCACCGCCAGCTAAATCATCAGTCCCTCTCTCTGTTGAGCAGACTCCAGGCCACCAGCCCCTGCCCACCGGGCCACCAGCCCCTGCCCACCGGGACACCAGTTCCTGCCCTCGGGCCACCAGCCCCTGCCCCCGGACCACCAGCCCCTGCCCCCCGGGACACCAGCCCCTGCACCTGGGTCACTAGACCCTCCCTCTAGGTAACCATCCCCTCCCCATGGTAAGCAGGCAGTGCTCACTGTGGGCAGTGGAACAGCACATACCTGTGTACTGAGTCACTGACAGAAAATTGCTCTGCAGTGAGTTTGCTCCGATGGTGGCCACAGAGATGTTGTACTCAGTGCCAGCCGTTAGGTGGTCAATCACGATGCTGTTGTTTATTGCGGTGAGATTCTGAGCGTCAGAAGCGTGGCTCCGGAAGGTGACATTGAAGTTGTAAGTCCCTGCAGTCATGTTTGCAGGTTCTCCCCAGGTCAGAGAGATGGCGCTGGTATTGACACTCAACACTTTGATGGATCCAGGAAGACTGGGAACTGGGAGGAAACACAGAACAAAGCAGGACCATGGGAACAAGCACCAGATTCACAAGATCTCATCTGATCTCATCCTTCCTGACACCGCATCTCACCCTCTTCCCATCACAGCATCAATCTGTTGTCTAAATGAGTCTGGTGTCCAGGCCTCAACCGCACTTCCTGCTAACCTGTTCATGTCGTTCATTAGCCTCTGAGTAAAGAGACACTTTGTGGTGTCTGCGCTGAAATTACTCTTTGCCACTCTAAATCACACCCCCCTCAACCCCAGTTACAGACCCTCCCAACCAGTAATGAGATGCTCCACCCGGTGACCAGCTGGGTCTGGGAATAATCTATCACCTGTGATGTTGAGCCGATGACGTGAGTGTGTGTGGGGTGAGGGAACATCGCCAGAAGAGGAGCAGAGGAGAGCGGGGAGGATTTGGGAAGCTTGTGGACTGGGCACTGGAGGGCAGGCAGCATGTGGAGAGGCAAAGCCAGAGATATGGGAGCCAAACCCCAGTCCCCGGGCCTGTACTTACTGGTACAACCTGATACAGGTTCAGATGAGATGCTGTGGGGCCCACTGTTGGTAGCCACAGTGATGGTGTAGCAGCGGCCAGGCTGTACGTCGCTGATTGTATATGATGTGTTTGGGGGGAACACGGTGAAGGTCCTGTCATAGGCTGAAAGGTTCTGATGATCTTGGACATGGACGGTATAATTCTCCACATTGCCAGGCGGAGTGTGCCAGGTCACCTTCAGAGAGGTTGTGCTCCCTTGGTTCTCCACCGTCACGTTGCTGGTTGGTATTTGCTCAGGTTCTGTTGGAGAAAAACAAGGTTAAACTGGTTCAGTCACTCGCACTCTTGCTGCTCACAAAGAAAGGTTGTTGGTTGAAGTCCCACCATCGGGGAATTTGAGCTCACAGTGAAGACTGAAGCTACAGCGCAGTGCTGGGGGAGCGCTGCACTGTCGGAGGTACCGAACTTAGGTCGAGACATGAAACCGAGATCCCCTCTGTGCCTGTCCAGGTGGATGGACACTGAAGATCTGGCAGAACTATTGGTAATGAGAAGGGAGTTTCACTCTTGTGGTGTCCCGGCCGATAATCTCCCGGATAGATATTCACCTCACGGCTGTTATTGGACATTGATGTACATAAATTGGCTGTCAGGTTCACTACAAACACAGTCACTACACCTGACAGCAACTGTGTGAGGCGCTTTGAGACATTTCTCATTACGGACGTCAATAAAATGTTTAAAGAGCCAGAAAGCGGAAGTTAGCATTCGCTCTGGAACGTGAATGCTAACCAGCCCGTCCTCGAGATGACCACCCCCTCCCTATGGTAAACAGCCCCTACTCCTGGTAACCAGACGGTCCCCAAAGTCACCAGCACCGCCAGCTAAATCATCAGTCCCTCTCTCTGTTGAGCAGACTCCAGGCCACCAGCCCCTGCCCACCGGGCCACCAGCCCCTGCGCACCGGGACACCAGTTCCTGCCCTCGGGCCACCAGCCCCTGTCCACCCCGGGACACCAGCCCCTGCCCCCCCGGGACACCAGCCCCTGCACCTGGGTCACTAGACCCTCCTCTAGGTAACCATCCCCTCCCCATGGTAAGCAGGCAGTGCTCTCTGTGGGCAGTGGAACAGCACATACCTGTGTACTGAGTCACTGACAGAAAATTGCTCTGCAGTGAGTTTGCTCCGATGGTGGCCACAGAGATGTTGTACTCAGTGCCAGCCGTTAGGTGGTCAATCACGATGCTGTTGTTTATTGCGGTGAGATTCTGAGCGTCAGAAGCGTGGCTCCGGAAGGTGACATTGAAGTTGTAAGTCCCTGCAGTCATGTTTGCAGGTTCTCCCCAGGTCAGAGAGATGGCGCTGGTATTGACACTCAACACTTTGATGGGTCCAGGAAGACTGGGAACTGGGAGGAAACACAGAACAAAGCAGGACCATGGGAACAAGCACCAGATTCACAAGATCTCATCTGATCTCATCCTTCCTGACACCGCATCTCACCCTCTTCCCATCACAGCATCAATCTGTTGTCTAAATGAGTCTGGTGTCCAGGCCTCAACCGCACTTCCTGCTAACCTGTTCATGTCGTTCATTAGCCTCTGAGTAAAGAGACACTTTGTGGTGTCTGCGCTGAAATTACTCTTTGCCACTCTAAATCACACCCCCCTCAACCCCAGTTACAGACCCTCCCAACCAGTAATGAGATGCTCCACCCGGTGACCAGCTGGGTCTGGGAATAATCTATCACCTGTGATGTTGAGCCGATGACGTGAGTGTGTGTGGGTGTAGGGAACATCGCCAGAAGAGGAGCAGAGGAGAGCGGGGAGGATTTGGGAAGCTTGTGGACTGGGCACTGGAGGGCAGGCAGCATGTGGAGAGGCAAAGCCAGAGATATGGGAGCCAAACCCCAGTCCCCGGGCCTGTACTTACTGGTACAACCTGATACAGGTTCAGATGCGATGCTGTGGGGCCCACTGTTGGTAGCCACAGTAATGTTGTAGCAGCGGCCAGGCTGTACGTCGCTGATTGTATATGATGTGTTTGGGGGGAACACGGTGAAGGTCCTGTCATAGGCTGAAAGGTTCTGATGATCTTGGACATGGACGGTATAATTCTCCACATTGCCAGGCGGAGTGTGCCAGGTCACCTTCAGAGAGGTTGTGCTCCCTTGGTTCTCCACCGTCACGTTGCTGGTTGGTATTTGCTCAGGTTCTGTTGGAGAAAAACAAGGTTAAACTGGTTCAGTCACTCGCACTCTTGCTGCTCACAAAGAAAGGTTGTTGGTTGAAGTCCCACCATCGGGGAATTTGAGCTCACAGTGAAGACTGAAGCTACAGCGCAGTGCTGGGGGAGCGCTGCACTGTCGGAGGTACCGAACTTAGGTCGAGACATGAAACCGAGATCCCCTCTGTGCCTGTCCAGGTGGATGGACACTGAAGATCTGGCAGAACTATTGGTAATGAGAAGGGAGTTTCACTCTTGTGGTGTCCCGGCCGATAATCTCCCGGATAGATATTCACCTCACGGCTGTTATTGGACATTGATGTACATAAATTGGCTGTCAGGTTCACTACAAACACAGTCACTACACCTGACAGCAACTGTGTGAGGCGCTTTGAGACATTTCTCATTACGGACGTCAATAAAATGTTTAAAGAGCCAGAAAGTGGAAGTTAACATTCGCTCGGGAACGTGAATGGTAACCAGCCCCTCCTCGAGATGACCACCCCCTCCCTATGGTAAACAGCCCCTACTCCTGGCAACCAGACGGTCCCCAAAGTCACCAGCACCGCCAGCTAAGTCATCATTCCCTCTCTCTGTTGAGCAGACTCCAGGCCACCAGCCCCTGCCCACTGGGCCACCAGTCCCTGCCCACCGGGCCACCAGCCCCTGCACCCCCCGGGCCACCAGGCCCTGCCCCCCCCGGGCCACCAGACCCTGCCCCCCCGGGCCACCAGACCCTGCCCCCCCGGGCCACCAGTCCCTGCCCCCCGCGGGCCACCAGATCCTGCCCCCCCCCGGGCCACCAGATCCTGCCCCCCCGGGCCACCCGCCCCTGCCCCCTGGGCCACCCGCCCCTGCACCTGCATCACTAGAACCTCCCTCTAGGTAACCATCCCCTCCCCATGGTAAGCAGGCAGTGCTCTCTGTGGGCAGTGGAACAGCACATACCTGTGTACTGAGTCACTGACAGAAAATTGCTCTGCAGTGAGTTTGCTCCGATGGTGGCCACAGAGATATTGTACTCAGTGCCAGCCGTTAGGTGGGCAATCACGATGCTGTTGTTTATTGCAGTGAGATTCTGAGCGTCAGAAGCGTGACTCCGGGAGGTGACATTGAAGTTGTAAGTCCCTGCAGTCATGTTTGCAGGTTCTCCCCAGGTCAGGGAGATGGCGCTGGTATTGACACTCAACACTTTGATGGATCCAGGAAGACTGGGAACTGGGAGGAAACACAGAACAAAGCAGGACCATGGGAACAAGCACCAGATTCACAAGATCTCATCTGATCTCATCCTTCAAGATACCCCGTCTCACCCTCTTCCCATCACAGCATCAATCTGTTGCCTAAATGAATCTGGTGTCCAGGCCTCAACCGCACTTCCTGCTAACCTGTTCATGTCATTAATTAGCCTCTGAGTAAAGAAACACTTTGTGGTGTCTGTCCTGAAATTACTCTTTGCCACTCTAAATCACACCCCCCTCAACCCCAGTTACAGACCCTCCCAACCAGTAATGAGACGCTCCACCCGGTGACCAGCTGGGTCTGGGAATAATGTATCACCTGTGATGTTGAGCCTATGACGTGAGTGTGTGTTGGGTGAGGGAACATCGCCAGAAGAGGAGCAGAGGAGAGCGGGGAGGATTTGGGAAGCTTGTGGACTGGGCAGTGGAGGGCAGGCAGCATGTGGAGAGGCAAAGCCAGAGAGATGGGAGCCAAACCCCAGTCCCCGGGCCTGTACTTACTGGTACAACCTGATACAGGTTCAGATGCGATGCTGTGGGGCCCACTGTTGGTAGCCACAGTGATGGTGTAGCAGCGGCCAGGCTGTAGGTTGATGATTGTGTATGATGTGTTTGGGGGGAACACGGTGAAGGTCTTGTCATAGGCTGAAAGGTTCCGATAATCTTGGACGTGGATGGTATAATTCTCCACATTGCCAGGCGGAGTGTGCCAGGTCATCTTCAGAGAGGTTGTGCTCCCTTGGTTCTCCACCGTCACGTTGCTGGTTGGTATTTGCTCAGGTTCTGTTGGACAAAAACAAGGTTAAACTGGTTCAGTCACTCGCACTCTTGCTGCTCACAAAGAATGGTTGTTGGTTGAAGTCCCACCATCGGGGAATTTGAGCTCACAGTGTAGACTGAAGCTACAGCGCAGTGCTGGGGGAGCGCTGCACTGTCGGAGGTACCGAACTTAGGTCGAGACATGAAACCGAGATCCCCTCTGTGCCTGTCCAGGTGGATGGACACTGAAGATCTGGCAGAACTATCGGTAATGAGAAGGGAGTTTCACTCTTGTGGTGTCCTGGCCGATAATCTCCCGGATAGATATTCACCTCACGGATGTTATTGGACATTGATGTACATAAATTGGCTGTCAGGTTCACTACAAACACAGTCACTACACCTGACAGCAACTGTGTGAGGCGCTTTGAGACATTTCTCATTACGGACGTCAATAAAATGTTTAAAGAGCCAGAAAGCGGAAGTTAACATTCGCTCTGGAACGTGAATGCTAACCAGCCCCTCCTCGAGATGACCACCCCCTCCCTATGGTAAACAGCCCCTACTGATGGTAACCAGACGGTCCCCAAAGTCACCAGCACCGCCAGCTAAATCATCAGTCCCTCTCTCTGTTGAGCAGACTCCAGGCCACCAGCCCCTGCCCACCGGGCCACCAGCCCCTGCCCACCGGGCCACCAGCCCCTGCCCCCCCCGGGCCACCAGCCCCTGCCCCCCCCGGGCCACCAGACCCTGCCCCCCCGGGCCACCAGACCCTGCCCCCCCCGGGCCACCAGACCCTGCCCCCCCGGGCCACCAGACTCTGCCCCCCCCCCGGGCCACCCGCCCCTGCCCCCCTGGGCCACCCGCCCCTGCACCTGCATCACTAGAACCTCCCTCTAGGTAACCATCCCCTCCCCATGGTAAGCAGGCAGTGCTCTCTGTGGGCAGTGGAACAGCACATACCTGTGTACTGAGTCACTGACAGAAAATTGCTCTGCAGTGAGTTTGCTCCGATGGTGGCCACAGAGATATTGTACTCAGTTCCAGCCGTTAGGTGGGCAATCACGATGCTGTTGTTTATTGCAGTGAGATTCTGAGCGTCAGAAGCGTGACTCCGGGAGGTGACATTGAAGTTGTAAGTCCCTGCAGTCATGTTTGCAGGTTCTCCCCAGGTCAGGGAGATGGCGCTGGTATTGACACTCAACACTTTGATGGGTCCAGGAAGACTGGGAACTGGGGGGAAACACAGAACAAAGCAGGACCATGGGAACAAGCACCAGATTCACAAGATCTCATCTGATCTCATCCTTCAAGATACCCCGTCTCACCCTCTTCCCATCACAGCATCAATCTGTTGCCTAAATGAGTCTGGTGTCCAGGTCTCAACCGCACTTCCTGCTAACCTGTTCATGTCATTAATTAGCCTCTGAGTAAAGAAACACTTTGTGGTGTCTGTCCTGAAATTACTCTTTGCCACTCTAAATCACACCCCCCTCAACCCCAGTTACAGACCCTCCCAACCAGTAATGAGACGCTCCACCCGGTGACCAGCTGGGTCTGGGAATAATGTATCACCTGTGATGTTGAGCCTATGACGTGAGTGTGTGTGGGGTGAGGGAACATCGCCAGAAGAGGAGCAGAGGAGAGCGGGGAGGATTTGGGAAGCTTGTGGACTGGGCAGTGGAGGGCAGGCAGCATGTGGAGAGGCAAAGCCAGAGAGATGGGAGCCAAACCCCAGTCCCCGGGCCTGTACTTACTGGTACAACCTGATACAGGTTCAGATGCGATGCTGTGGGGCCCACTGTTGGTAGCCACAGTGATGTTGTAGCAGCGGCCAGGCTGTAGGTTGATGATTGTGTGTGATGTGTTTTGGGGGAACACGGTGAAGGTCTTGTCATAGGCTGAAAGGTTCCGATAATCTTGGACGTGGATGGTATAATTCTCCACATTGCCAGGCGGAGTGTGCCAGGTCACCTTCAGAGAGGTTGTGCTCCCTTGGTTCTCCACCGTCACGTTGCTGGTTGGTATTTGCTCAGGTTCTGTTGGACAAAAACAAAGTTAAACTGGCTCAGTCACTCGCACTCTTGCTGCTTAGTTGTTGGTTGAAGCCCCACCATCGGGGACTTTGAGCTCATCTGATCTTATCCTGACAGACACCCCGTCTCACCCTCTTCCCATCACATCATCAATCTGTTGTCTAAATAAGTCTCAAAGTGCTTCACAGAATATATTGTAAAGTGAATTGACCGTATATAATTGTGTGCAAAACGTGTGTATAAATTGGCTGTCACATTCACTTACAAACACAGTCACTACACCTGACAGCAACTGTGTGAGGCGCTTTGAGACGTTTCTCATTACGGACGTCAATAAAATGTTTAAAGAGCCAGAAAGAGGAAATTAACACTCGCTTGGGAACGTGAACGGTAACCAGCCCCTCCACCGGATGATCAGCCCCTACTCCCGGTAACCAGACCGTCCCCCAGGATCACCAGGCCCTCCCCCAAGTCCACTCACCCCTCCCTCAGTTCACCAGCACCTCCCCGGTCACCAGCCCGTCTTCCCCGATCACCAGCTCTTCCCCACAGGTCACCAGGCCCCGCGGTCACCAGCCCCTGTGGTCACCAGCCTCTGCCCCCCAGATCACCAGCCACTCCCTGGGTCACCAGCCCCTCCCCCCCGGTCACCAGCCCACCTTCCCAGGTCATCAGCCTCTCCCCCCTCAGTCACCAGCCTCTCCCCCTCCAGGTCACCAGCCTCTCCCCCTCCAGGTCACCAGCCTCTCCCCCTCCAGGTCATCAGCCTCTCCCCCTCCAGGTCACCAGCCTCTCGCCCTTCAGGTCACCAGCCTCTCCCCCTCCAGGTCACCAGCCTCTCCCCCCCAAGTCACCAGCCTCTCCCCCTCCAGGTCACCAGCCTCTCCCCCTCCAGGTCACCAGCCTGGAGGGGGAGAGGCTGGTGCCGCTCCCCCTCCAGGCTGGTTCTGCAGTGCAATTGCTCTGCAGTGAGTTTGCTCCGATAGTAGCCACAGAGATGTAGTACTCAGTGCCAGCCGTTAGGTGGTCAATCACAATGCTGTTTTTTATTGCGATGAGATTCTGAGCGTCAGAAGCGTGGCTCCGGGAGGTGACACTGAAGTTGTAAGTCCCTGCAGTCATGTTTGCAGGTATTTCCCAGGTCAGGGAGATGGCACTGGTATTGACATCTGCCACATTGATGGGTCCAGGACTGGGAACTGGGAGAAAACACGGAACAAAGATAGAGTTGGGTGTCATCCACATGTAACAAGATTACATTTGTAAAGCGCCTTTCACGTCGGGAGGATGTCCCAACGCGCTGGCAGTGTACAGCATTTCAGACCCGAGCTGGGGTCGGGGGGTGGGGGGGGAGAGGGGAGGACAAATGGGAGTGGCCGATGGCATGGTCAAAGAGGAGGGTCTTGAGACGGGACTTGATGGAGGCTAAGGAGGGGGTGAGGCAGAGTGATTGGGGGATGGAATTCCAGAGGTTGGGGGCAAAGTGGCTGAAGGCTCTCCCGCCAATGGTGGAGCGGGTGGGTCGGGAGACGAGGAGCAGGCCAGAGCCGGCTGAGTGGAGGGAGCGGGCAGGTTGGTAGGGGGTTAGGAAGTCGCAGAGGGAGGGTGGCTCGAGGCCATGGAGGGCTTTGTAGGTGAGAACCAGGATCTTGAACTGGATTCTTTGAAGGATAGGGAGCCAATGGAAATCGGGCGACAATGGGAGAGATGGGGTCTGAAGGGTGAGGTAGTGGCAGAGTTGGGCAATGTTACGGAGGTGAGGAAAGGCAGAGTGTGTCATGGCTTGGATGTGGGGAAGAAAAAAAAGTTGAGGATTGAACAAGACATCGAGGTTCCTGACTGGTTTGGTGAGTTGAAGTGTGCAGCCATGGAGGTTGATGCTGCCAGAGCCTGAGGTGCGGAGACGCTGGTGTGAGCCAATCAGGAGGGCCTCAGTCTTGTTCACATTCAACTGTAGGAAATTTGCCCTCATCCAGGACTTGATGTCCGACAGGCAGTCTGTCAGGACAGCAGTGGAGTTGAGGGTGGAGGCAGAAAGATAGAGTTGGGTGTCATCTGCATACATATGGAAGTTGACCCCAGGTCTGTAGATGATGTACCAAGGGGGAGCATGTAGATATTAAAGAGGAGTGGGCCAAGAACAGAGCCCTGGGGGACGCCAGATGTGACAGTGCACCAGATTTACAAGAACACAAAGTGGGTCTGGAGCGAGAAATCCTTTGGGCCCATGTGATCTTATCCTTCCGGGTTCCCCATATCACCTTCTTCCCCTCACAGCATCAAGCTATTTTCTAAATGAGTCCTGTGTCCTGTTAACCTACTACGCTTCTTGCTAATTAGGGACAGGAACTATATAAGTGCAAGTTGTTGTTGTGAAGGAACAGTTCCTGGATGGATCAGAGGAGTGCACTGTGGGGGAGTTGAAGGCAGCGGGCTTATTGGTCAGGGAGAAAGGAGAGCTGGGGATCGAACCGAACGCTGAGGTGACACAGTAGATAAGCGAGTTCAAGAGACACCAGGAGGTCAGAGCCATAAGATAGGAGGATTTGTGGCAAGACAACGTGAGAATTGCTTCCTTTGGATACGCGTACCAAACATCAATGTCAGTGCAGTCATCAGCCTAACTAACAGCAGAGCTGTGATTGTGAACAACATGGTTCGTTTATAGCCAAGTGCCTGACGCACATGGAAAGCATTCAACATGAATAGGCGGCATCTGACACACATGGAACCCATCACTGTGATCAGCCGGGTGTCTGACACACATGGAACCCATCACTGTGATCAGCTGGGTGTCTGACTCACATGCTTGCCATGTTTAAGAGTCTCCAAACCAAACTGAGTTCCATGTATGTATGGGAATGTCCCTGTGTCTGGAATGGAAATGCATTCTTTCCCACTGCTTGTCCAGCTAGGACCACCTTACCCAATAGGATTTTGGCTTTCAGGGTTAACAGGAGCAGAGTGATAGTATTCCCTGCCACCACTGACTGGTCTGCCCTTCCAAGTCCTGCCAATAAGCCAGACTGGCTGTACTGTGGAGGCCTGTAGCTCAGTAGTTATAGCACTTGCCTCACAAGCGAGAGACCTGGGTTTGATTCCCGGCAGGGCGAAACCTTGGTCAAGTTTCCTTACTCACACGCCTGATAATAATCCCTCAAGAACAAAAAATTTACGACTGTTTGTGGGACACTGCTGTGCGCAATTGGCTGCTGCATTTCGCCCACAAATGTATAGTCAATTCACTTTACAGTACATTCTGTGAAGCGCTTTGAGATGTCCAGAAAACGTGAACAGTGCTATATCAAATGCAAAGAATATTATTATCATCAGCAGGGCCTTGGAATACTACGGACTCGCCTGGCTCAGGAACTGGACTAGAGACCGTCGCAGAGGGTGGGCTTGATTCCAACACTCATTGCCAAACATGTAACCTTGCAGCCAGTTCAACTCCAAGGAGACCTTGTTTACCTCCCCCAAGTAGGATAGTCACTAGTTGGCCAGTTGTCATCTGACCAGCGGGGGTTTAAGCCCTCACTAGGTCGGTGGCAGGAACAAGGAATGCCCTGCGAGCTTCCCGGTGGGCAACACAGCATCTTCCAGCCCACAGCTCAAACACACATCGCTACCCACTAAGCGATGGGTCCATGAGTTGGAGATGTGGAGCTTAAGCAACAGCTACTTATCTCTCCGCAAACCAATCAAGGTGGATTCGAAGCTCAGTGGAACCAACCTTCGGTGCAACAACAACAAAATTACATTTATACAGAGGCTTTCTCGCTGGAAGGACATCCCTAGGCACTGAGGGATTGTGAGCGGTGGGTGACAATCTGCCTGTCTCCAATAGGCGGCGCTAACACCATATTTTGAGTAAAGGCAATAGTGGGGCGGAGCTCTGTGCGATGCACAATACGAGCAAAGCAGCAGAGAGAGGGCACGAGAGAGTGAGAGAGAGGGCAACAGAGAGTAAGAGAGAGAGAGAGAGAGAGCATGACAGGGAGAACGACCAAGAGAGAGAGAAACACACGTTTACTCTCACCAGATTGACTTACCCTCTGCAGACACCGGGCCCTGTGGAAGAGAGAGAGGGAGAGAGTGACGTAGAAATTATGATAATAATAATAATGTGGTCATTCAATCCACAACTGTTTGTGGGACAAACTGCTGTGCACAATTGGCTGCTGTGTTTCACCCATAAAATATATAGTCAATTCACTTTACAGTTTGTTCTGTAAAGCACTTTGAGACATCTCGAGGATGTGAAAAACTCTATATCAAATGCAAGGATTATTATTATTTATTATATATATATCTCAATGGGGCTGTGTGGCTCTAGTTAATGATGAAGAAAAGTGAGTGTACCTGTGTGAGAGTGAGTGTGCGAATCTGTGTGTGAGTGTGTGTGTGGGGAGCGGGATTCTAGGGCGGGCGGGGGGTGAGGGGAGCAACGAGTACCTGACAAGGATCAATAATTATTGTGTTTAGTTATTGTATTTTCCACCAGCCACCTGTAGGAAACAGAATTTGTCTTCTGACTATCACAAAGGACAGATACAGAAAGAGAGAATGAGAGAGAAACACAGAAAGAGAGACAATCAGAGAGTAAGACAGTGAGATAGACAAATGTCTAGACAATCAGAGAGTGAGATAGACAGACGTCTAAACAATCAGAGAGAGAGCAAGACAGTACAGACAGTCAATCAGAGAGGGAGAGAGATAGTGAGATGGAGAGATAATGAGAGACAGAACAAAGGAGAGAGAGGCCATGGGAGGCAGTGAGAGTGAGACCATAAGAGACAGAGAGAGAGATACAGAGAAAGACAGAATGTGATAGAGAGTAAGATGAAGAGTGAGAGAGAGACTGAGTGAGAGAGGTTAGAGAGTGTAAGGCAATGAAAATGAGAGATAGGTCAGAGAGAAAATGAGAGTGAGAGATCAGATAGAGAGAGAGAGAGACAATGAGAGAGTGAGAGAGAGGCGCACACACACACACGCACAGGAGCTGAGTGGAGAGGAGTGGAGATCCTGGGCTCTGCCGCCCACAGTCCCCACTGAATCAATTGCTGCTATTTTACATTTCAATGTTTGAAATTTGAATTTTGTTTGAAGCTGAACTCTGAATAGTATGAGCGAGTGCAAGTAGAGCTTTGATCAGAGCACAGTAACCCCACACACAATACAACAAAGGCTCTCACTGTGTTCAGTCTGACGCAAGGGGCTGGGAGAGAGAGAGAGAGCGACACACGACCTTTGCTATCCTCCTCTAACACTGGGGATGACCTTTGCCAGCCTGAGCTGGACGCTGTACTGCAGATGGATGCGGGTTAATGTCTGCCTGTCTATCTCTGGTACTGGACACGCCTGTCTCCTGGCCTGGCCCATTACTGTGGAAACGCCATGCTGAGCCAAGGCAGGAGAAGGTGCTGACGCGGGGTCCACATTACCAAGCTCTGAGTTGAAGCCCGACTCCAGTAGTTGTGAGTCATGGTGTCGGACCATTCCCTATCCAGCAGTTAGAGAGAGGTCTTGGTATAGAAGGCCTTTACGTCACTCAGAGAGAACGCCCTTCAGTCAGCCAACAATTCATACCAGAAACCCAAAATAACTTCCTGATATAAATACACAATAATTGCGAGAATTCCAAACCACAATCTAAAACCTCACCCATGTCTTGCATACAGTGTGGAGTCCTGTAGCTCAGTGGTTAGAGCACTCGCTTTGCAAGTGAGAGACCTGAGTTCAATTCCAGACAGGGTGAAACCTTGGGCAAGTTTCCTTACTCCACACAGAGCCTAATAATAATCCCTCCAAAACCAAAAACAATAATAAATTGGTCATTTTCAATCTACGACTGTTTGTGGGACATTACTGTGTGCAATTGGCTGCCGCGTTCGCCCACAAATATACACTCACTTCACTTTACAGTGTGTTCTGTGAAGCGCTTTGGGACGTCCTCCTGACGTGAAAAGCGCTATATCAAATGCAAGGATTATTATTATTATTATTATTATTACAACTCAATTATAATCAATACAAAAGCAGGAATGTGGACGGTGTAGAGGTAGCTTTACTCTGTCTCTAACCTATGCTGTCTCTGATCTGGGAGTGCGGACGGACAGTGTCGATGTGGAAGCGTTACTCTGTGTCTAACCCGTGCCGTGGCTCCCCTGAGAGTGTGGACAGACAGCGTTAATGTTAATTAGATTTCTGGGAGTTAGTGTTATAATAATAATAATAATCCTTGCGTTTGATATAGCGCTTTTCACGTCGGGAGGACGTCCCAAAGCGCTTCACAGAATATACTGTAAAGTGAATTGACTGTATATTTGTGGGCGAACGCGGCAGCCAATTGCGCACAGCAATGTCCCACAAACAGTCATGGATTGAAAATGACCAATTTATTATTGTTTTGTTTTTTAGTTAGATTTCTGGGAGTCTGGACGGTGGTATGGGAGGATGAGGGTGCAGGGGTGAGGAGGGAAGTCACAGTGCAGGGAACATGGCTGGATGGGTCATGCTGAGACTCTCCTCTCTGCAGTGACCTTGCTAGAGTTTACCAGAGGGGGAGGGGGGCAGGGCGTGCACTGAGAGCCTGACAGGAAATGCGGCAGGAAATTATTAAGAAGCTTTTCTCAAGATACAATTGTGTGTCTGAGCAATGGCCTGACATTGCTGCTCACTCCACTCACACCTCACTGACTGGTCACTCACTACAGCCCTTTCTCTCTTTCACTCTCTCTCTCTATCCTTCCCTCTCCCCATTACCCATCTCTCTCTCTCTCTCTTTCCCCCTCTCTCTTGTTTATTCCTATTTCTCTCCCCCTTTCACTCTCTTACCCTCTGTTCTTTAGTTCTAAAGGCACTGTATTCAAATACAAGGATTATAATGATAGTGTCATAGACTTGTTAACATGAACAGAATGTCTCATTCAAAGGACAGCACTTCTGACAAAGCCGTCACCCCCCCGTCCTGGAATGACAGCCTGAACTATAAGGGGTCGAGTCTGTGAGAGGTTTTGTGTAGTTTGGGAGAAACTGTTTCCTCTTCTTGGGTGGGTCAGTAACCAGAGGACACAGATTTATGATAATTGGTTAAGAAAAAACAGAGGGAAGGAGACATTTTTTTCAACCCAGATTGTTGTTACAATCTGCCTGAAGCAGATTCACTAGTAGCTTTCAAAAGGGAATTGGATAGGTACTTAAAAAGGAAAAAATTGCAGGGCTCTGGGGTAAGAGCGGGGTAGTGGGACTAGTTGGTAGCTGTTTCAAAGAGCTGCACGGACATGATGGGGCGAATGACCTCCTTCTGTGCTGTAAGATTCTCTGATTGTAAGTCCTAATGCAGGGTTTGAAGCCCCAATGCCCGAGATGAGCGTGCTCCCAGCGCGCCTGGCTGCTCCCAGCTCCGGTGACAGCCTCCACCCACATACCCCAACCCCACTTATTTTTCTCTCTTTTCCTTATTTGAGTTTGCATAACCTGTCATTCATTTTTATTCTTTTAGGCATTCTTTCCTTCTCTCTCTTTCCGTCTCTCACTCACATTCTGTCCTTTTACCCCCTCTCTTTTCCCCTTTATCTCTTTCCCACCCACCCCCACTTCTCTCACTCGTTTTCTCCCTCTCTCTCTCTCCCCCTTTTTTCTCTCTCTCACTCTTTCTCTCTCTTTCTCCATCTCTCTCTCACTCTTTCCTTTCCATATCTCTCTCTCTCTCACTCCCTTTCCCCTTCAAAACCAAATTGGGGGGCACAGTTAATACAGAGGAGGACTGCAACAAATTACAGCAAGACATTAATAACTTGTTGAGTGGGCATTTAAATGGCAAATGCATTTCAATGTAGAAAAGTGTGAGGTGGTACATTTTGGTAGAAGGAATAAGGAAGTGACATACATCCTGGAAAATAAACACTTAATGGGATGGAGGAGCAAAGGGACCTAGAAGTACACACACACACACGCACAATTCACTAAAAGTAGCAATGCAGGTTAATAAAACCATTAAAGAAAGCAAATCAGGCATTGAGGTTCATTTCTGGAGGGATATAAATGAAAAGCAGGGAAGCTATGGTAAACCTCTATAGAACCTCGGTTAGACCACACTTAGAATACTGTGTGCAGTTCTGGTCCCCACATTATAGAAGGGACGCAGAGACACTGGAGAGGGTGCAAAGGAGATTCACAAGGATGATCCCAGAACTGAGAGGTTATACCTATCAGGAAAGGCTGAACATGCTTGGGACTCTTTTCTCTTGAAGAGGAGGGTAAGGGGTGACCTGATAGAGGTCTTAAAAATTATGAAAGGTTTTGATAGGGTAGACGCAGAGAAGGTGTTTCCACTTGTGGGGGAGACCAAAACCAGGGGCCATCAATATAAAATAGTCCCAAATAGATCAAAAAGGGAAGTTAGAAGAAATTTCTTCACATGGAGAGTAGTGGGAATGTGGAACATGCTACCACAAGGAGTTGTTGAGGCAAATAGCATAAATGTATTTAAGGGAAAGCTAGAGAGGCACATGAGGGAGAAAGGAATAGTAATAATAATAATAATCCTTGCATTTGATATAGTGCTTTTCAGGTCGGGAAGACGTCCCAAAGTGCTTCACAGAACACACTGTAAAGTGAATTGACTGTATATTTGTGGGTGAACGCGGCAGCCAATTGCGCACAGCAATGTCCCACAAACAGTCGTGGATTGAAAATGACCAATTTATTATTGTTTTTTGGTTTTTTGGAGGGATTATTATTAGGCTCTGTGTGGAGTAAGGAAACTCGCCCAAGGTTTCGCTCTACTGGAATTGAGCTCAGGTCTCTCGCTTGCAAAGCGAGTGCTCTAACCACTGAGCTATAGGACTCCAGGTAGGTTATGCTTGAAGACTTAGTTGAGGAAAGGCAGGAGGAGGCTCGTGTGGTGCATAACACTGGCATAGACCAGTTGGGCTGAATGGCCTGTTTCTGTGCTGTATATTCTAATATATTCTCTCTCACTCTCTCTCCCCATCTCTCTCTCTCTCTCCCCATCTCTCTCACTCTCTCTCGCAATCTCTCTCATTCTCTTTCCCCATCTCTCTTAC